TTTAAGGAGTTATAGCTTAAAGAATTTATATAATCTTACTTAAGTTTATTTTTATTAAAATAATATTTATTATTTTATTATAAAATAAGCAATTTATTTATATTTTTATGATTATTTTAAAGATTAATTAAGCTAAATTACTTATATTTTATTAACCCTTTTTCTTTATAATCATTTCTTAAGCTATATTAATTATTATATAGCTATAAGCTAAGTTTAATAAGATATTATAATAATATAATTAAAATAAGCTTAGCAAAAAAAATAAGCTATATTTAAAATTATATAAATTATAATAAAAGCTTATTATATATTAATATTTAAAAAAAGTTATATTATATATATAATATATTAACTTTATAATAAATTAATAATTATTTTTAAGTTTTTTAAAATAAGCAGAGTTATTAACTTTAATTTTACCTTTTATATTTATTACTTACTTATAATAATATAATAACTATACTTATTATTTATTTAAATAATAATAATATATTTATAATTTATAATAATAAAAATTAAGAAAGAAAGTTTATTTAATTTATTTTATATTTATTAATATTATTTTTATATAAATTAAACTTATAAAGAAAGCTTATGCTTTTAAGCAAAACTTTATTTAAAAACTAATCTTTTTTTTAAGATTAATAAGGTTTTCTTTATAAAGTATAGCTAGCTTTATAACTTAAACTTAAGTTAACATAGCTATAAAAAGGAATTTATAATTTATTATAAAGTATCCTTATTAACTATAATATAAATATACTTTGCATCTTTATTAAGCCTTTTTTTTAAACTTAAAGATTTAAGGTGCCTTAGCTTAGTTATTAATTAATTAAAAAAAAGGCGCCTTAATACCCTTATAGCCCCTTATTTTTAATGCCTTAACCCCTTATTATACTTATTATAATAATATTTATTATTATTATATTTTAATTTATTACTTATTATCCTTAAGCTAAAAGCTTTAAAAAGTATAAAGTTAAGCTTATATATTATTAATGCTTAAAGTTTTATATCTTTAACTTATAAGTAATTTAGTAATATATATTTATTACCTTATTATAATTTATATATAAAATTAATGCTTTAATAACCTTATTATAAAATTATAAAGAAAGCTAATTATAAAAGTAATTTAGCTTTACTTTATTTAATTATTTAAGGTTTTTAGCTTATATTATTAGTTATTTAAATTAAATATAAAATTAAGTAAAGTTATTATAATTTTATATTTAAAATATCTTAAGTTTAATTAAAGTAGCTACTTATTAATATAGGTTTTTATAATAATGCTTTAAGTATTTAAAGAATTTATTTATATTAAAGTTATTTTAAAACTTGCTTTGCTTATAAAATGCTGCAATATATAATTATATTTTAATAAATAGCTAACTTTATAAAAAGATTTAATATTTTTAAGGATTTTTAATAAAGTTTATATTAATTTATAATTTATATTATATTATAATATTTTAAGTTAAAAAGCTATTTTAATTATTATTAAATAAGGGTTTAATTAAGAGCGGCTTATATTAAATTAAGGGTGGGTTAAAAGGGTTTGTATATATTTTAAGCTTTATAAATTAGTAAAGCATTATTATAAATAATTAAGGGAGCTAAAGTGCTTTTTAAGTATTTTTATGGCTTAGTATTAAAGTAAGTTAAGGGATTTTTAGCTATATATTTTATAAAAAGATTAATATTTTAAGTATAAAGTTATTTATCTTTATAATATAAATATTCTTTTTAATGTAATTTAAAGATTATAATTTAATATTATAAGTTGGCTTTAAATATTTATTAAAAAGTATTTAAAAAGAGTTATAAATTATAATATTTAAAAAATAAGTTAGGCCTTAAAAAAGCTTAACTTTGGATTTATCTTTTAAGTATATACCTTATTATATAAAAGGGTTGGGTATAATATAGGCTTGGCATGGGTATGCATTATAGCTTAAGCAATAGCCCAAGCTTATTATATAATATACTTATAAAGGTTTTTAAAAGCTATAAGGACTTTTTTAATTAAATTTTATAATTAATTAATGTAAAAATTAACATTAAAAAGTTTAAGTTAAAAGGAAAAAAGTACTTAAAAAGATTTTTTAAAAGATTAAGAAGATTAATTAAAACTTTAATAAAATGCTAAGCTTTACTTATAAATAATTAATAAAATGATTATAGTTTAATAAAGATAATTAAAAATATAATTATAAATTTTTAATAATCTTTATACTTAAAAAGGAAAGTTATAAATATATAAAAATATATAAAATATAAATATAAATATATATATATTATTTTATATTTTATGAAAAATAAAATTTAAAATTTAAAATATAGTTATAACTTTAGGTAAGTATTAAGGTTAGCTAAAGTTAATAAATATTATAAAAATTAAATATTATTTAATATTAATTATAACTTAATAAATTATATTACTGTTATGGGCTGGCTCCAGAGGGGCTGCAGGCTGGCTAGCGCCTTCTCTTATAAGCTGCAAAGCAGCAACCTTTTAACCATTAAGCCAAAAGGTACGTAATAATCCAAGCTCCCTTGGATTATCTAGCCACACTATATAAGGCTTGGGCAATAGCCCAAGCCCATCACAATTACATATTATTTAAATTTTTTAATATATTTAATTTATAAATATTTAGCTATATATAATTTTACATTATAATAATTATTATATTTGTGGAGATATAAGCCCTAAAAAAGCCATCTTTTTGGTGTAAAAAAGTGGCCCGCATCGGGGGGTGGCCCGAATGTGGGCCACTAGACTTACGATTCACCCTCTAGCCAATCACCCGTCCCAATCTCACCTTAAAACGTTTGGCAAGATGCAGTTCAGTACTATTGTCACATTCCTCATGCCCTTGGCCCTTGCTCAGGCTGCGACCTGGAACCTCTCGGGTACTTGCTCGGCAGATCTCACATGTAAAATCGACACCCAATACACGGCCCCCGAACTGCCAGAGGTCTGTGGAAACAGAAATGGACGCTTCGCTGGAACTGGCAACGAAGGGAAGACTAGCTGTACACCTGTGAACACCAAGTGTACCTACGTCTGGGAGTGCTAAGGAGACGACTGACGACGTATGCAACTTTGGGAGACATGAAGAGCGTTCTTGGGTTGGACAGGTATAAACGATTTGCTCAAAGCGGAAGAAAGCAGAAATTTGGATCGGAAAAGACTTAGACAGCCTCATGAGAAATCAATTCATCCAGCAATTCCTGCTCAGGGCAAGCTTTTCCCGATGATTTCATCGTTGGCAACAGATGTGAGGACCTTTACTACACAGGAAGTTGCTGACTAGCAAAATTAAAAATATTTCTTACACTAATTGGTGGCACACAAAGACAGACCCTCAGGGCCTAAGAAATTGAAATGCTGTATATTCATTGAGGGGGTAGCCGATCCCCGGTGCTGGACGCCCCATACTGGCTTTTGTCAAGGAGGTCACGTTCATTAATAAGTAACCATTCATTCCATCTACTCTGTAATATTTTGAAGGGAAAAAGTTGTATGTTCGGCTCAGTTCCCAGTGCCGTGATCTTTCTTCAAGTGTTCTTCGAAACTAGTGCTTCATCTCTCCCTCTGACCAGCTGGTATCGTCCTAAACTAGTACTTGTATAGAGCAGATTTGAAAATCAAACTTCTTTCCCCTTACAAAAAAAATGACATACTTGAATTTCGTCTCATTAGATTGTGTTACTCTAGCCTGAAACATGAAGCCCTCGCCGCGGAATCCATGTACTTGAGAAATGGTCACCCTGGCCGCAGCTGTGGACGTTCTCACTGCTCTCCTGGTATCTCGAGCAACGAACTGAGACGAATCTACTGCTGCTAGCGAATAGACCGTTCGGCCAAGAGACCAGTAATTTCCAATCCCTTGGAAATACACCCAGCAGTCTATAAGCCCGTACCGTCACACGAACCACGAGCACTTGCAAATGCCCCCAACCCCTATCACTTGGAACTATTCATATAGGATCGGGATAACGACGACACATTAGACGTAATACCATCAACGCAGAGCGTTTAAACTGACAAGTCTGCTATTAACACTGAGCAGTTTTACATGTCCCTTTGTGTATTAAGCATGTGGATCCTACTCCTCTGTAGAGACATTCAGGTCCTCACAGTCAAGCCTGTTCGGCGCAACGAAAAGCTCAGTCATAAATCACAAGTGAAGCGAGAAAACGTTATCAGTGGGAAGAGGGAGTGAGTCCAGATGTCTCAGAATTCATAAGGTACTCTTTGTGTTGCAGACAGCAAGATCTCAAAGTGCGTTGTGTCTTTCTTCTCTTCTGATTAGCCTCCACGGCAGTGCTCCGGGTATCAAGTGATACGTTCTGTTTCTCATTTGAACCCTTCCTTTCCTAAAGATTGTTATCGTATGGTTAAGAGTGGATTAATAAAAATGCCGTTGAACGTTTGCTGTTCTACAAGCAACTTGTAACTTAGCCAGTATATCATATAGACTATTTGTATTCTTTGAGTTCCTTTACTAAGCTGGAATGACAATGATTGCCCTAGTGGGACAAGAGACAATGTAAGTTGTAGGCAATTACAGTCAAATTCGCTATGCAAGCCGGTATATCATATACGAGCATGAAAAGAGAGTTTCAGGAGAGGAGACATCACAAAGTGGATCAAGAGATTAGAGGTGGCGCAATGTGGCCAGATACGACGAAATATAAAAGACTCGGACCAGGCAAACCGGCATTTGTATACTAGTAATAGCTAACTCAATACTTGAAAATTGGTATGTGGATATCATAATCGTGTAATATGAATCATGTATTCTCTTGAGTTCCTGTGGCTTCGGACTTGGGATTACCGGCCTTGAAGTGATGTCCTCCATGTATCCCACCTAACACAGCCTGCCATCCAATTCATGATATCCCTAGGCAATTGAAGACATCGACAATACCCACACGATGTAGTACCACCGAACACCGGCCCATTAGACACCTGAGTTCGCAGTCACTCAAGACGCCGCAAACCGTTCGGCTCGTGCAGCCCTGCTCTCCCTTTGTGTCGTTCGTTTCCCAGTCTCGCTATGATCATTGCCTTTTGGGTCCTCTTGATACAGGTTGTATTCCCGATCGGATAGTTCACCCTCATTGTATTGACCCGCGGCCGGCCGCGGCGCCGTCGTCGATGTGAATTGCACAGGCGGACCGTGCTCGTCCCGATCTTCGCCTTCGTTGAAATAAAGCCGGTCGCTGTCATGGAGCGACACGACCTCACCCCAGGTCTCAACCTGCCGTGTCTGCATCTGGCCGGGTTGTTGGTGCATCGGCAACACGTCTGGGTCAACAGGTTCGCGGCGACGGAACGGAAGCGCGCCCAGGAATGGTTTGAGGCCCTGGTGGCGCTGAGGAGGCGCTCCTTGGCCATAATAGTCTGACTTGTTGATGTACTCGCCATCAGCGTCTCGAATAGGGCGGGACGCTCGGTGGCGGTTGCGGTTGAGGCTGATTTCTAGCAAGATAGATAGTGCGAAAAAGATGCTGTAGTTCGAATGTGTCCGTTAGTTGTGCTCACCCATAGCAACAAACACTTGATGGGACTGAATCCATGTTTTCCAGGGAGGACTATTACTCACCAGGCAATACTAGCAGCGGCGAGGCAGACTGTCTCCAACCTGCAAGCCATCTGGAATGTCGGCAGCCCATTCACAGGGATGTCGGCTATGCTGTTTCCCGATCCACTCGTGCTAGGAGAAGCATTCGCCTCCCCCGAGCCGTAGACGGTGTTTACGTTGCTGCCGCTGCACGAGCTTGCCCCGTCACGGTTGCCAACAGCAACATAAATGTAGGCGGCGATGAGCCCGATGTCCAAAATGATTGCGATAAATGAGGAAACGGGAAAGCCTGCGCAGCAACACACAAACAGCAAACCAAGGGCTGTGTATAGCGTGCCGACGGCTGCGATGCCTTCTATGGCCTTGACGTTGGTCGAAATGGTCATCTTGTGACTAGCCATGGTGGCGATGTAGTATGAATAGATGCCCAATACGACAACTGAGCAGACGAACTGGATGCCTCTAAACAGCCACTGGAGGCACTTGAGCCCCGCACGTCCCGACGAGGAAGCCATCGTTGGCGAAGTCGTGACCCGATTCGAACTATGGATGTGAGGTGCTTGTTGAAATACGGCAAACGAAGGTATGGGTATTGCAAGTAGGAGTACGTGGAGTTCCAACGAGATACTGTTCACATGTTTGAGAGTGCCACAATCTGTGTCGGCAGTTGTATGGTGGGGTTGTGGCTTGAGTAAATCTAATCCGGCTTGGACCATGTTTGCGGATGACGTTGAGTGTGACGGCTTCGGGCCTTGTTACTGAGACCCTGAGATGAGAGTCTGGGGCGGTATGTCATCGTCAGGGATTAGAGTGGCTCGACGTGCAGCATATAACCGTCTTCATATATCCTGACATGGGACGAAGCCGGGGTAAGCCCCCGCCGGCCACCGCACGCATGAAACACCGGTATGTGTTGTAGCTCCTATCACACGCGAAACTGAGAAGTGACCTCATCAGTTATAGGACTCACAATATCGCCTGTGGAAGGGTGTGTGGCATGTTCGCCAAGGAGTGGGGGGGGGTTGAAATGAGAGCCTGGCTTGACCATTCTATTCAATCTAGTATCTACCGAACATATTTTAGTCGCTGCACAAAGGGTATAGACCTCGACTTCGAGGCTGGGGACAGCGAAGCAGGAGTTGAAGAGAAGCACACGCTACTCTAAACTCAAATGAAGCTGCCTCTCTGGCAGCAGGCAGTCGGACGAACTATGCGCAGGAGCTGAGGGTATCACCTCCCGACACTCTCGACTTGGAAACCAAGCCTCTCCATTTCCTTCACCTCCAGCACTCCTCTCCCATCGAACACCCACTTAGGCTTCTTCATGTGGTAGCTTATCTTGGCCCAGTCCACCCTCTCCTTGGGTTTGTATTCCTCGTTGGGGGCGTGGCCGCTGTGCTCCAGTTTGCAGTCGGGGCAGTCGGCATCACAGGCTGGCTCAGCATGAAGCCTCTGCAGGGGGTCGGATGAGGACGAGGATGACCATGACGAAGATGCAGATGCAGATGCTGGCACGATAGCCGGTGCGACTGGTAGTGACTTGAGCACATGCTTTCTCAGAGACAGAAGCTCCAGCTCGCTCGGTTCTGTGGTCGCGAATGGTCGGGGGTCGAATGTGCTGCTTGGCTTTTGTACTGATGGCTTGGAAGGGGGGATGGTGTTGGCCGCAGGGTTAGGAGCGAAAAGCCCCTCAGCACCGATCCTGGCCTCGATGGCCTTGCTCGGCCCGTTCTTGAACTCATCGAACTCAGTCGTGATCAGGACAGCATCCGCAGCCGCGCACGCCTCGTAGGCGGTGTCGTGCACGGCCAATGGCCCCCCTTCCGCCTTCAGTATCCTCTCGGCATCAATGCCCTCGCAGCCCTTGAGCAAGTGCTTGATCTCGTCGCGCAATGTGGCCGGGTTGCAGCACGGGTCAAACACGGCAACCTCGCGAGGCCCCTCCTCCAGCAGCGTCCGGATGATCTCCAGCGCAGGCGATTCGCGCGTGTCGTTGGTGTTCTTCTTGAAGGCGTAGCCCAATACAGCCAGCTTCTTCCCAACTAGTGTATTATTTAGACACCGCACCACCCGCGCCGCGAATCGGTCCCGGCTGTACTCGTTCATTGCGTTGACCTGTCTCCAGTACTCTGCCACCTCGTCCAGCCCGAGGCTCTGTGCGAGGTACACGAGCGACAGCACGTCCTTCTTGAAGCACGATCCGCCGAAGCCGATACCTGCCTTGAGGAACTTGTCGCCGATGCGCGGGTCAACCCCGATGGCAGCCGCGACCTCGTCCACGTCCGCGCCGGTCTTCTCGCATACAGCTGCTATCGAGTTGATGGAGGATATACGCTGGGCGAGCATCGAATTGGCAACCAGCTTGGCGAGCTCAGAGGACCACACGTTGGTCGTTATGATGCGCTGGCGTGGCACCCAACCGGCATAAACTGCTGCGAGGGCTGACGCGGCTTTGCGGCCTGCGGGTGTGGGCGAGGAGCCGATCAGAACTCGGTCGGGGTACAGGAGGTCATTGACAGCTGTGCCAGCCGCCAGGAACTCGGGGTTCGAGAGGATTTCAAAGTGCACGCCGGGGCGGTGGACGGCCATCTACCATGGAGAATCAGGAGTCAGTGGTCGACTGTGTCTGGTTCCCGTGCCGGCAGGATTCAGAACATACCGTATCTTTGACCATCTGGGCTGTTCGACACGGCACAGTGCTCTTCTCCACAATGATTGCGCCGGGTCTCGCATGCCGTGCAATCTCGGCGGTGACTGCCTCGAAGGCCGTCATGTCCGTTGCACACCCTTTACCCGCGCCGCGCGTCTTGGTTGGCGTGTTGACAGAGATCAAGACGACATCCGCCTCGGAGATGCACCGGCCCACCTGGGTGCTGAAGAACAGATTGGGCTGTCTGGCCGGCACGATGATCTCGCGGCTGGCCGACGATGCATCGGGCAGGACCTCTGCGTCACCCATGTGGGAGGCTGACCCGTGAGAGTTCGTGATGACCGTTTCTCTTGTGCCATCCCGGGCAACCCGCACGACCTCCTCGAGGCCAGGCTCGTAGATTGGAGGGTGTCTACTGTTCCAGCGTCGGATCCGGCTTTCGTTGAGGTCGACCACTGTCACGCGAAGGTGGGGGTTGTTGAAGGCGACCACGGCTGCCGTGGGGCCGCCTGCATTCAGTGTTGATCAGCAAGTGGCCGTTGGCATACTGCTATCACAGGTTCCTTCTCTCTTACCAACGTATCCCGCGCCAACGCAGCAAATGTTGCGGACAGGCCTCGTCTGGTTGATGCCCATGTCCAGTGCCTCGAGAACCTGTGGGCGCAGCACCGGGCTGGACATGTAGCTGCCTTCTGGCGTTGTGGGAGCCGTTGAGCCGTCGAGGATGTTGCTGCTATCCTCGGGGCTGTCAACTTGGGGAGACGACAAGGGATTCATTTTGCCCTGGCACAGAATCTGGCGGCTGGTGAGTACTGCGATCTTTCAAATCCTGTCCGTCGGATACCCTCCTTACAGCGGGAAGTGGCCCCGTGACGGTGGGATGGAAGAATTACTGATAAGATGTCGCGTGGTCGGTGCCTGACCTCGTGTGAATGCTCAGGAGGCGAGGACCCAGGTGGCGTGGCCTGACACAGCCCGGTTTCCAGTTCAAAACTAAGAGAAGATATCTATGAAATCTGTTCTGGGCCTCTCGATGGTTTTCAAGGACGGCTGAAACAGTGAGATCATGTACGGAAAGACCACGGGAGTGGCGATGTGACTTCACGTCGCCAGACACAGGGGTCTGGCGAGCGCAAGCACAGGACTTCACCCCGCTGACTCCCACAGACAAGAGCACAGCGTGACACTGTAGCCCCTGTATCGCGGCTTCAAATTGCTCCTAGTCACCATGGGAACAAAGAAGGCAGAGGAGCCGGGAATGAGTCGCGCGTCTGCTCATCTCTGTTGCACGGCGCGTCCAGATGCGCCGAGTACTTGTCACGGCATCCAACCACTGCGAGCACGGGGGTTGAGCTGGTGGCTTCTGTTGGCTTTTCCGCGAGGCAGGCCGGGCCCGGCGCCTGACCGGCTAGAGAAAGCACCAGTGTCTCTGAATCCGTAGATGGTAGCATGTTCCGAGGTTCTCAAAAGAGGCAGATAGCAACAGGCCCGGCCTCGAACCGGCTCTTTGGACCCTTAGAAGTCTAAAGGGTCTGAGACAGCCTGCCAATGAACCCGCATGCCCCTCCATCATGCTCTGGAGGGGCTCGTCCATTGGGTGGGCCCGGGCCTTGTGCTTGGGCTGTTGTTTCTGATTGGCTGCCCTGGGTGTAAGTCCCGAGATAAGATATTGCGCCCAGGTGCGCCCCACGGATGATGCAGACTGCTGCCACGCCCTGCCTCCCTCCTGCAGGTCAAGGTCACCTGCACCTTGGATGAAAACCGTCATACATATTGATCAGCGCTTTACCCATCAGTCTGTTAATTCTAGACTGCCGCTGCACCATACCCTGGGTTTATCCCATGAAGAGCACTACCTCGGTGATTGTCGTCCACAAGTCGCGGGGCAGCAGAGATGCCGTGAACGGCGGTCTGGATATTGGCGGTGAGGCTTGGTCGGTATAGATGTCAGACATTTCGCTGCAATCACCTGACTGTTACTGTTGTGGGGGAGACCACCATGCTCTCTGGCTTCTGGACAGACCCTTCCGGATGAGAGCGACATATGACATCCTCGAAAGTCCATTTGACCAAAGTCATCAACTGCACCCGCCTCAGCCAACTCGATACACCAGGTTGCACCCCAATTTTATATCAACGATTTCCATGGCGGCATGCCTTTTCTCTTCCTTACTGGTATTCTTACCGTTCGCTTCCGACACCAATACTCACATTATATCACATCTTGCTTCTCACACAGAGCGTGAAATCGCCGCCGCTGCGAAACTAAAAAGGCTCCAAGATATTGTGTCGGTCGACCGGGGAGTTTTGTAGTCCAGCAGCCTGGGTCTTATATACATCATGGCACCTGCAGCCCTACCACCAGGTGGACGTTGTGATGTCTCGGTCTTTCCGGAGGCCCTAAAGGGCAAGAAAGTCTTACTCTGCACCGAGTCCTTCGGCCCCGTCAACGGTGTAAGCCGGACGACGCTGATGCTTGTCAACCACTTGCGCGCCAATGGGTGTGACCTCGCCGTCGTGTCGCCGCATAATTCTACCAAGGTCAACACCTTTATCCCGAAATTTACCACCACTACATCGACACCATCATCGTCGAACGGCGAGGCCGGCAATACCACGGCAGGCTCCAAGGACGTCGAAGTCCGCCTGCACGGCTATCCCGTCCCCTTCAACCCGGAGCTCAGCATAGCCTACCTCGTTCGCCTCTCGGAACTCTACCGCCGCACGTTCGGCTGCCCGCCCGATCTCATCTATCTCGCCTCCCCTGCTAGCCTAGGCTTCCAAGTCATGCTGCAGCTGCGCCAGCGGCCGCAGGCCGAGCAGGTCCCCGTGATTTGCAATTTCCAGACCGACCTCGCCGGCTACTGCAAGACGCTGTTCCCATGGCCGATGGGCGACATCGCAGACTACACATTTGCAGCGGTACAGAGTTTCCTTTTCAGGCACGCCAGCGTGCGGACCATTTTCTACCCTAGCACATATGTGCGCAGGTACCTGGAGCGCCACCGCGTCCAGGGGGACAAGATGGAGGTCCTCACGCGCGGCGTGGACGCGGACATGTTTCGCCCAGCGAAGAGGAGCGAGGCGCTGAGAAAGACCATTGCCCCGAACGGCGAGGTCATCCTGATATGCGTGGCGAGGCTTGCGGCGGAGAAGAGCTTCGACTTCCTCGCCCTCGCAGCCAGGGAGCTGGACGCGCGCGGCCTGGACTTCAAGCTGTACATCGTCGGCGGTAACCGCCAGGCGGAGGTCGAGGCGGAGATCAAGGACCTCTTCTCGGACCTGGTGCGCAAGGGCAAGGTCGTCTTCGCGGGGTTCAAGGTCGGCGAGGCGCTGGCCGAGGCGTATGCTAGTGCCGACCTGTTCCTGCACTGCTCCGTCTCCGAGACGTTCGGGCTCGTGGTGCTCGAGTCGTTTGCCTCGGGTGTGCCCGTCGTGGCGAGGGACGTGGGCGGGCCCAGTGACACGGTTGCTGACGGGGTTAGCGGGTTCCTCACGCCGCCTGACGGCCTGCCTGCTTTCGTGGACAAGGTCGTGCTCTTGGTGAACGATGGGAAGCTGAGGGGCCGATTCGGAGAAAGTGCGCTGAAGCAGGCTCGGGAGGCGACGTGGGAGAAGATCAACAACAAGGTGGCATGGAAAATGGCGGATACAATACAGCGGAGAGAGGAGGAGCTGGCGGAGATGCGAATGGAGGACGAAGGTGCTGACCAAAGCCCGAGCGCCTCTGCCGTGCCGGTATTTGGATGGCTGATGTTGAGTAACGCGGTGCGTGAGACGGTGGTAGGCTCCAAGCTTGCCGGTGCGCTGGGTGTCATCATGGGATTTTGGGGCCTGGTCAGCGTGTATTTGGTGTTCACCAAGGCGACACGATGGGTCCGGGGGCTCTTCAGCAGGTCATAACTGGACACCGAAGACCATGGCTGTGGATGATGAGGTCGAAGTGACCCGATTTAAAGCTTTTGGACGTGGCATTTTCATTTTGTATACCTAATAGCGAGAGTCGAGTGACCCCTAGACATGAATGAATAGCCGAACACCAAGGACAGCATATGCTCTTGGTCCGTCCTCCTGGCATCGGAGCGGGACAGTTATTCAGAAGGCAGAAGATCTTATATCGTGATTTGCACTCACTGCCACTACGATCACATCGGTATGTCCCTCTGTCCTTCCCAGCCTCTGCCGAGCCTGGCCCACTGATAGTTTGTCCTTTAGGCGGCATTGCCCAGTTCACGGATGCACCTAGATCTGCAATATGGGCAAGCGGCTATGACAAAGGATTCATCGAGGATGACTTACCAACTTCATCTCTGTGTCGATTCGTCGGCATGGAGACACCCAAGTACACTGTGACTAAGTGGGCCGCAAACTCGGAGCCGGTCGTGTTTGGCATCAAAGACCTCGGACTCACCATATACCAGACACCAGGCCATACGCCTGATGAGCTGGCTATTTGGGACCAGAAGGAGAGGGTGTTGTTTGTAGGCGATACCCTTTACGAGTGGGCGCCTATCCTCTTCTCACTGTTGGGGAATTTGGATGACTATGCTGCGACTTTGCACAAATTGCGGAAACTCGTGGATGGGTGCAACAGAGGCGTCGCGGAAGACGACCGTGTCACCATGGCATGTGGCCATTGTACACAAGACACCCCGGCGGCTGAATTTCTCTACGAGGTCGACAGCTTCTTCGACAAGATCAGAACAGGGATTGTACCGCCGATTGACAAAGGCACAACGCCCGGGAGGAACATACCACTAGTTGGTTTTGAGCGAGAGGACGGCTGGTTCTCTATCGTCGGTCCTAAGGAGCTGTTCGACAAGTTTCGTGTTGGTCACAACCTTTGATGTTGGGTGCTGGAGTCATTTGACAGAATGACAGGTAGTTACCCACGAGGCAACCATCCCTCCCAAGATCTCACAACATTGCGCTTCTGCTAGGCTCGAGGCGAGTCTGACCGGCTTGAAGTGGCCACACTCGTGATGTTGTATGATCCTGAAAACGCGCTCTGTACTTCCGTCATGTAAGGTCTTTAAAGCATACAGGATGCACTACTCGCCCTCAAGACATGTGTTACACAATTACTAGCATATATTCATCATCTTTCTTGGTAGTTTGGAGTCCTGACCAAGAGATATCTTTGATGCGCGCAAAGCTGAGCTCTGAGAGCCTCACTGGCCCTTCTTTGGACCAGGCCCTCCATGCCGACCACTGACGCCGTCATGACTATCCCTAATAAAACTTCAAGGGAAACGTCATGCCCACAGATTCGGACTTTTCCTTCAATACTTCCTCCGTAAGCCGCATCAGCTGTTCGGCCAACTCGTTGCTCTGTGCAAGCTCAGATCCATCCTCAACGCGGGCAGGTACGCAGATGTACTTTCCGCTCCTCTCCGTCGCGGTCGCCGCGTACATTGCCGAGACGCACCCTTCAAGCTGGCTCTTCTGGAACGGCTTCATGGCGACGCTCATCATGTAGCCACCAAGCGGGTACGCCTCGTGGATGTCAAAGGTCGACGCCTTGGTGTCCACGAACCCCGGGTGGACGCTGTTCGCCAGGATCTGGGGGTGCTCTGCCGTCAGGTGGGTGGCAAGGTAGCGCGCGTAGAGCATTGCAGCCAGCTTGCTGCGTCCATACTGCCCGTTGGGACCATTGTCTCTGTTGATCTCATCCAAGCTGGCGAACTTTGTGTCTTTTGGTGCGGCCTGATGTGCGTTTGAGCCTAGGTTGACAATGCGGACTGTATGTCCTGCTTTCGCCGTGTCTTTCATGATAGGTAGAAGAGACGAGGTCAAGATTACGTGGCCGAAGTGGTTGATGGCCATGTGCTCATCTATTCCATAGGGTGTGAGCTTGGCAGTCATGATGCCCCTAGCTGCGTTGTTGATCAGGACATCGATCCTGTCGGTGCTGGCTTTGATTTCGTCGGCTGTCCGCATTACCGCCTTCCAGTCCCCCAAGTTGCATTGCTTCCATTGGACTTTTGCAGAGGCAGCGTCACCCAATCCTTCCTTGATGGAGTTGGTGGCATCGCCAACTACATCCGCAGACTGCGATACGATAAAAAGCTTGGAAATGTTGTGCTCGAGCAAGGTCCGTGTGCAGCCATAGCCGATGCCTTGTGAACCGCCTGTCACTATGGCTACTTTCCCACTCAGGTCAGGGACTTGGTCCAGCGAAAAATGCTCGTCCTTGGGAGCAAGAGAATTACTGCTATTGTCAGCAGTGGTAGATATTCTCAATGTACCGGGCCGACTTACGTTCCGCCAAAGTTCTCGTAAACTGTCGCCTTGATGGAATCCATAACAATTGAGCGCGTGGTATGGTGCAGGTTAATGGTACTGGTTCTGGCGAGCACGCTTCTCAGTGTGGGTAGCATATCGTCATTGGCCTTGGATTACATGACCTTTGTGGACTGTTGTGGTTTATATTTACGTCCACTTGAGCCTGCCGAGGTGTGGCTTTGAAAGCCAAAGTGGTGATATCATCGTATTGCGGCCACACGCTAAGTAGAGCACAGGCCTAAGAACAATCCTCTGGCGCGTTCAGAAAGTCTTGATGAGCTCATCGACATCATACTTGAGTTTTATATGCACTTGGGTCAACTCATTTTCTTATCTTATTTAGCATTCAACCAACAGAATTGAGCATGGGTCCGAATGCAACGGTCCATGCCACATGCAACGGAATGGCGTACCGCACGTAAACACTCTAAGTCTTTGATTTCTTCTTGCAACAGTCAATTTGGTTGATTGGTGGGCCAAACAGATCGAAACTTCTATGTAACGAAAACTTCACCAATTCCATCACGGAAAGGGACAAAAAAAGAGAAAATAAAAAGAAAGGAAAGAAAAGCACGACTGCGCCTTGCTATAACCATATTTCATTTGCCAGCTCTCTTCTATATGCTTTTGGGCCAGATCTATGGAATGAGTTCTGCGGGATATTCCGTCTTTTACGCCCCCCTCTAATAGAAGTTAATCATTGCGATGACACCGGACTATACGGGCGATTGAAAGACACGAGTGAAAATGGATCTATGGTCTTCGGCGATGGACCCCTCAATGGGGTGGTCTCAAACATGGCACAGGATGAGGGAAGGCCTGCTTGCTTGTACAATGGCCAGGGCTGGCTCAGGGATATTTCAAGATCAGCTAGTTGCCGTGGCGAGCAAGCAAGTGGCCATTGTAATGTTCAGGGACCACGTACTGAAGCCGCTACTAATTAGGCAGTCTTGAAGGTGCATGCCAGGGAAGACTTAGAGCCCATGTTGCAATTTGACCGACATCCCAGCGAAATTGTCAGAGTATTGGAGAAGTTCCGGGTACGAGAGAAAAGGAGAATCAGTAGTCACAACAGAGTGGTCGATTATCCCACGGCTATGTTGGCAAGTCTTGCTGCAAATTGCTGGCGAGACCCATGCGATGAGCTCTAGTAGCATATTGCTCTAAAAGAAGTCCGTGGACAATGAAGTAAAGTTCTTCTCTGCTATCTTTTCCAAGACTCGACGGCATGTTGCGACTGGAAATGGCGAGCAGTACAGCCTAGGCTAGGCACAGAATGACAGCCTCAAGAGCTCGCTTTGTTTGCTCGATGTTGTAGACCTGGACAGAATCAATGCCTGCGGTGTCTCTTACTGGCGCATCATTTCCGCCAGGGTAAAGAGCGTCTCCAAAGAAAAGGATCTCTGCCTTTTTAATCCCGGATAGCTCGGACAGGCGTTCCATGCCGTACGCTTTGTCGACACCTGCGCGGGTGATGTCTATAGAGGTCGCACCCCCAATACGAACGGAAACATCTGGAAGGATAGGCTGAAGGTCTTTCTGAACCAAGCGTCGTTTCTCCTGCTTAGGATCCCAGCTCTCCTTGGGACCAAGGGGCGCCTGCTGTCTGTTTGGCTTGAGTCAGCATGGTCTTGGGATGCACGCCGAGGACTCATTTCTTGGCCGAGGCGAGAGACGCAAGGAAGTTTATGTGACTTCAGATGTATTATGTTGGTTTTTGAGCGGGACAGAGAGTGACTTACCCAAGGGCAGAAAACGTAATCTGGCTTCCGCGGTCTTCAATCTGCTCTCCCCAGATCTCGGTGGGCGTGAAACCGAGGCGGTCAATGGAGGCTCGCAGCTCCTTGATGACTGTAGATTCACATCAGTGACTTGCTTGCACTTCTGAAAAACAGAGCGGAGGCTTTTGTTGTTGGATCTAAGAAGGGGCCACGGCCCTAGCGAGCATCCAAGAGTGCACGGTACTTACTGTGGGCTCTTTCCTCGTCGCTAAACAGATCAGCGTACTTCCGCACCCAATTGTCGTTCTCGAAGCGATAAAGTTTCGTCCCTGTGGTGGGCATCAGCCAGAAGCGTGAGCGATTGGTGCTGTCGGGCAGACGGCTGGCGACCTGCTTGTCGAACTGGGGCCAGTCGCCGCCAGAGATTACGCAAATGTCGGCGACGTGACTGAGACGGCCGAGGATGGCAGCCATCTCATCGTCGAGGGCCTGCTTGCTCTCGGCGAGAGTGCCGTCAAGGTCGAAAGCAACCAATCGTTTCATTGTGGATTCGAGACTGCAAGGCCTTTTGGATCTGGTGAAAGACTACAATTTTGGGCTGATGGTGGATCAAAGAATGCGTGCCGAAAGAAAGGAGGCAGATGGCCGTTGCCACCTGGCCTCCAGCTTCAGGAGAAGCAGGAGGTGAGACACCTCGTATAGGGTTAGGGTTTTGGCAGGACCTCCCCCTTCCGACAGGTCCCCTCCGTTTTTCGAAAGCAGGAGACAACAGCTCGGGTCAGATTTCTGAGCAGTTTATCATCGCGAAGGGAATGTTGCCTTCGATTCGGGATATCTGACAGCTGCTGAACTCCAAAACTGCAAGCACGTGATGGAGAAAAGCATCCTCTGAACTTTGGGGGAAATTGTGAAAGAGCCAGCCTAGTCGTCCGAGCCGCGGCTCCGTGATATGGGAGAGCTACACCTAGGACGGCCGACAAGCACGGTTCGAGGCAAATCAAGCCTGATGCACAAAGCCTGAAAGATTGCAATTTACTTGTACGTGCTTTATGAGCTAGACCAGTTACCTTTCGTATGCTTGCATCTACTCAGGAATCCACTCGCTCCGGGCTGGCAGACTTACCCAGGGCATTGCTGTAGACTTCATTTTCTGATGTTCTTTGGCCAATACTTCTCAACGAAAGCGATGGGATCTCTCATCCAAGGCGTGTCTAGAGTGTACTCTCTGTCAAATATGTGGTCGCCTTCGTTGACAGCAAAGAGGAGCGGCACCTCCGGTTGTAGGTCTCTCAGCTTGTTGGCCCACTTCTCAGACGTGCCGAAGGGAACCTATGTTTTGGTTAAATATACTGCGTTTTGCACGACGGGAGTTGTTGCTTACCGATGTGTCTGTCTTTCCATGGGCTAGCAGATACGGTGGTTGTGCACCAGCTGCTTCTAGGCTTTGCAGGGGATCCAGGTAAGCGTTGGGACCCGTCAGGTCCACGAGGCGGTCATTCTGCATCATTGAGCAGGCAAGTTCCACTGCAGCAAAAGGAATTAGCCAACAAAGAACTAAGGAAGAAGTTTCATCTAGATATAAGGAGGACCAGGCCACAGTATGGCGATGGCTTGTTTCAAAACCTGCAGCCTAACAAGACCTTTGAGGTACAGGCTACAGATAGGAAATCGATTTCCCAGAGAGGGTAAGAATTGTATCCGGAAGCTGCTTACTGCGGACGCCATTGCGCGTTCGAGTAAGCACTTTTTGCTGCGAGCTGGCGAGGTAGTCCTCCAGTATAGACACGGGCCGATACTCGATTTCTCGTTTGGTATGTTCCAGTGCTTCAGTGAGGTCCAATGCAGGGTACATTGGAATAACAATTCGTAGTGGGTTGCGCGTCATAGCAAGCAGGGCAGACTCAGCTGCCAAGTGACCCCCAGCACTCTCACCTGTAAGCGCAATGTTGTCCAGGTCTAGCTCCGCAGGCGGGGAAGCTGAAGCGAGTGCATTGGGCAGTCGATCTTCGACCCAGACCCAGAAGTCGCGAATGTCGTCGATAATGTCCGCAAGTGTAGCCTCTGGTCGAAGACGATAGTCTGGGCTCACAAGAATGGCATTATGCTTCAGGGCGAGCTCCGGTATCCTGTTCATAGTCAACACCCGAGGCCGATGGCGAGACTTGTTGAGAATGTGACCTACCACGGCCGGATCCAAATGGTCCCGCTCCCTTCTGTCCATGCTCCGCCATGCAATCGGACCAACAGTGGACGTTTTCCATCTGATGGAGTTTTCGGAATGAGTATACTGGCTTGTATGGGAACTCCGTCGACATATTTGTAAGTTTCATCATAGATATTGAATGACGAAAATAAGTCTACCGTGGTTTGGGAATTGTCCTCGGTGTCGGGGATTGACGGATGCATGTTTGCAGGAAAGCGCCCCGAATTGCTGCGCAGGCGATGTGATTGTGACCGGAATCTGAAGGACACTCAGAGATCTGACACGTTGCAGAACTCTGCATAAATGTTGGCATTTGATTTATAAGCAAGACAGAACGCCGTCAGACAGCCTCATTCGACCGATTCTGTCCTACATGTCTCACATGCACGCGCTACGCTTCTTGCAAGAAATGTACACATTAGCACTAGTGAGCACATCTTCAGTTCGATGTTAGACGTACTCGATCGATGCAAACGCCTGCAACTACGATGCCAGTCCCTTGAAAGAGACCAGGTAATTAGTGCTTTGAATCTATGCTCAATGAAGAGAAGGAAGGGAGTTTTTCAAGCCGGACTTCTTTGTGAAATTAGAGATACAATGCCGGCGAAAATAAAAAAAAGCACCTATGACCTGTCTATAAGAACGAGTTCATGTTGTTTGTCTCGTCATGATGGGCCACAGTAATCAAGCCATCGGTCAGTTACACCTATCAGAAAGAATTCTATTCGTCCGATCTGAGCCAACAAAACTAATATTGGGAGTCTTGGGGTAAGTTCCAAGAAATGTGTTTCTACGCTTACAAGCAATTTGTGGTAAGTACTAAAATAGCCTTTCCCGCCCCCCTCCCAAACCACCTTGAACAGCAACTCGGAAACTCCCTTGCGGCTTGCACGCAACTGCAGCCATACTCGCTCTGCTCACACGGCAGCCGTGTTTGTTGAGATTCTAACTTTGTGATTTAGTGTCGTGATTGCGGCGAAGTCCTCGAAGAAACTACCATAAAGCAACGGGACTGCCGGAAGAAGTCTTGCGACAAGACTGTGCCGCCGGGATCGGCAATCAGGTGTCTGGTAGAGAAGAAATATGACCAAGATTGCTCTTGTCATTTTCCACTCGTCGTCTAGCCCTCCTGAGACTGCCGAGTAAGATTCTAAAAAGACGGTTTGCTAACCTCTTCAGCCATTCAACGAAATAAGTACTCGCAGAGGTCGAGTGTAAATAGACGATCACTCTTCGACAAATAAATTCCAAAATTAGTCGCAATTCATTCTAGTGTGTCATTCTTTCTGCTTCATTACATCGCCTCGAAAAACAAGTGCCCCTCCTCCCAAACCAGAGCTGTTGATGCATATTCAAATAGATCAATATCATGCCAGTACTATTACTCATGTGATCGATCGGGCACGCCACAACGATATGCGACTAGCTGATCCAGCACAGATGGGTCGAGTATAGTTTATGGAAGAGAAACAGAGCTGGCAGCCATCAGGTACCAGATCCTTAGCTGATGAGTCATCACCGGCTGTATTCACAAAATGTTGTTCACATCGGCGATATACTAGTAAGAGGTAGTACGGTTATAAGTACATATATAAAAGGACATCAACTCGGCAAGTTGAGCAGGCACCTGCCCTATCTGAAGAAGGTTTTCATCATATATATTTGATCAGTTAGGTTTTTTTTTTTTTTTTTTTTTTTTTTTTTTTTTTTTTTGGAAACAGAAGACAGTCAGCTTGCTCAGAATTTGCTCGACTTTGGTAGGACTCCATGAGAACTTCCTCTCCAAATTATCAAACACATGAAACTTAACGTCCCCGGCCCAGATTCCGGCCGCCTTTTCCACACAAACACCCACCTTTCAGACCCCCATTATTAAATCTACATAAAATTTAAAAATCCTAACCATGATTCATTATATACTTTTTTATTACATAATTTAATAACAATATTAAAAAATTTATTATAAGCATAATACTTTTAAAAAGATTTTTAAAATTAAAAAATATAAATTATTAAAAAATAAAAATACTAACATTTTATATAATTATATTAATAATTCTCTCTTTTTATACTTTATAATATATCTTATTATGCAAATTAAATAAAATTTTTCTCTTTCTTAAAAAGGATTAATTATTTTATTAATTAAATAATTTTAACTTATATTTATTAAACATATTTTTTCATATTAATAAATTTAAACTTTTAAGATTTCTTTATATACGTTTTATACAAGAAAATTATAAAAGTATTATTCTTTATTTAAAGAAAATAATGTTAATAAAAATAAAACTTAAATTTAATTATTTTCTATTAATTTTATATAAAATACTTTATTTAAGATTTTTTTAATTTTAATTAATTAAAAAGTTAATATAAGTACTGTTATTAAATATTAATACTTTAATAATGAACCTTAATAATTCCATACTTTTAACTTTAAAACTTTTTTTTAAAAATATTATACTTATAATAAAATTCTTATAATATTTTTATTTAAAATTATAAGTAAATCAATATATGATTTCCCAGGGTTAGGGCTTTTAGATTTTATTCAGATTTAATAATAAGGGGTTGAAAAGTGGGTGTCTTATAGTGCAACTTTACCAGAAACGGCTGGCCAGAACCAGGGGGGTGTCGGAATCTGGGCCGGGGACGTTACGTACAGACCGGCCGAGGAGAGTCCTTTTCCGCATGGCTATTGCATTTCAGCGAATGCATCAGGCAATTCAGAATTATTACTTTGCCACTAAAGACAATAAATATGGGCCACCTGTCGCGCGAGGGATTCAGAGGAACGCATATAAGCGAAAAGGATTCGGGAGGCTTGGCCGGGCGTCCCGTACCTGCACGTGTGGACTCATTACCAAGACTGCCAAGGAGATCAGATCTTGACGGTCAAGTGCGTGGCACTCGACACGATAGACGCATACCCTGGCGAGAGTTCTAGATCCTGCTCGTGGGACGACTGCATCTGCATATTTGGAGGGGAGTTGGGGGCAGCTTCCTCAGTCAGGTGGCTCTAGGAAGGGTTGCACACATAGCAGAGAAAGGGTACTTTGGGCGCGGTCGTCTGTATAAATGTTGACCCATGATCTCGGCGGGGCTGCGTTTAATGTAACCCTCGACCCATGCCAGGCCTGAAGGGCCGGCCGAGGCCCAAGTGGCGTCCGGCGTCAGAAGTACCCAGCGGGTCCGTTACTCTTCCGCTTGGCATAATAGCCAATATCCGGCCCTGACCAGTGTAGTATCCAGGAGCTCAACATTATACCCAGCAGGATTGTAGGAAATTTCCTTTCATGCCGCAATTGAGGTGCAACCGCCGTTTGTCACCTGGGCAGTCTGAGCACCGGCCTGACCAGCGAGCGCACTGCGGGACGAACGAGCCAGGCCAGTTCTTTTCACAGCAGTCTCAGTGGTTCAGTTCGGCTGCCGCATAAGCAAAAAGTGGCGTCGCTTACTTGCAGGCGCTTATACTCGGTGACAGACCTCATTCTGGCTCATGCATGCCGTCTATCTAGGCACGGACTCACTGCATATGTCTGTCGACTCCACACCACCCTGGTCTCTCGCAGATATCCCGCGCCTTCACGCCACAGGGCTTACAACACGGGTTTGTGGCCTCATTCATGGCAGCGCTGAGTAAGGCCTATGCGTTGAAGTCATCGTGCCTCCCTTTGCCATTCGTCTAGAATAGTCTGTGAACGGAAAAAATGACACGCCAACACTGCCAAATGGAACTTGAAGCTTGAACGCTGATTGGCCAAGCGAGGTGATATTGCCAAGCAACATGACTGCCAAACCAAACTTAAAACTTAAAAGCTAATTAGCCAAGCAAGAAAAAACTACTAAATAAAACTTAAACCTTAGCAGCTAATTAATTTAAATTAAACCCTTAACTCTAACCTAAATATTAGTAGGAGGCGGGGACGTGAACCCCCCCGCCGGGAGGGGGGTGAGCGCGAAGCGCCAGGGGGGGCCCTGCGAAGCGGGTGGGCCCCCCCCCCTTTTGTTCTTTGCTACTATAGTCATGCCTATCCAGACGAATAGCTCCCAGGGCCCCGCTTCCACCTAGTTTTCTACGCTTTGGAAGCATGGGGATGAGTCAGAGATGCGTACATGTTCTTGCATACCATACGACTGTTCAACCAGGTGATTCGCTCGTCGCGTGAAGGAAGCCGTTCGCCGACGCGAGTAGGTGGGCCCGGCTCAGGGTCTGGCCACATGGTGAGTGAAAACAAATAGTGGGGCGACGTCGTTCCTCCCACCAGATACCTCGTGACGCTGAATGGGGACACGACCCCGTGCACGCGTTCCTCAGCAGGACACCAAAGAATTTGGTACACATCGAATAAGGAGAAATGCAATTCAATCTATTGAAGACCTAAGTATCCAGTCAATAAGCTCGTGATGCAATATATATTGATTGCCGTTGTGTCCGTACGTAGTCTTGGCTTGGCAGGTAGCATCCACAGCTACGGGGCATGGATTAGGCAGTCTATTCCCTCGGGATCTTACATCCTTGCCCAGCCCACAAGGGACGGATGTTTCTAATTTCGAATTTGGGTACGCTTTGAACAAGAGAGTTAGCTCCCTCTCTGGGCGTCCGTAGAAAGTTGATATATAATCGTGGCCCTCCGTGATATTGGTCATGACCAGGACCTAGCCCAAGTCCGCTAACTTCATTTGTTTCGATGTGACGGTTTATAGCCGCCTTACACTCGCTCTGATGTTCTACTCTTTGGTGCGCTTAGGCCCTCGGCTTGCTTTTCTTCTGTCGGTTCTTGCCATCCAACTAGTATTTGCCCTGCCGACAGAACTCGGGGACTATGACCTGTTCCATGACGCACCTTCGAACTCCCTCGATAGGCGGGCACCGAACTTTTACGCACGGATTCTTCCACTAGGAGCGTCTATCGTTCAGGGTCGAGGCTCTTCTTCTGGCAATGGGTAAGACAGACAGCAGGTTTCCGCACAGGATCTTCTTTACTTACGTCTCGATGGTGACAAATAGGTTCCGCAAGTTTCTCAGAGACCAGCTCAGAAAGGATGGCTGGAGGGTCAACATGGTTGGGTCTAAGAGTGAAGGAACTATGGCTGATAACGTGGGTTGATTGTCTTTGCTCCGAGCCTGTTCACCCTTGAGAGGAAAAAAGGTCTAACGAATGAGTGCAGAGTGTTGAGGCTGTCCCAGGCTATACAGTAGACCAGATTCATGACATCTCGCATCTGTCTACGCCCTCCAAGCCAAACATCGTTCTCATTAATGCAGGAGTGAATGATTGCGAGAACGGCATCGACATTCCTAACATTGGAGCTCGCCTGGGCAGTCTCCTCGATAGCCTCTTCACTGAAATACCCGGCACAACACTCATCGTTTCTACCTTGATTCCTGGCACCGATCCTGACGTCGAGAGATTCAGGACAGAGGCCAATCGTCAGTATCGCGCTCTCGTTAATGATCGTCGATCGCGGGGCCAGAAAATTGTCCTGGCTGAGAGTGTGTGCTTATAAGACCCCTCCCCCTCCCGGCCAATTTAACTCTTGCGGAGACTGATATGCGATACAGTGGATGGTGTTGCCGGATACTTCGATACCCGAGTGGGCAGTGGTGACTACTTCGATGAGACTCACCCCAACGACAAAGGCTACGTGAAGATGGCTGCCATCTGGCGAAAGGCCCTCAATACTGCTGAGTCGGAGGGCAAACTCACTGCCCCAGCTGGTGCTCCCGGTGTCGACGACAGTGGGAGCAATACGTGCGACAAACAGTACGGAGGTTCAGAAGCAACTCGAAGAACCACACAATCGGCAAGCGGTTGGGATGATGGAATCTATGTTCATTCGAGCTCTGCTCAGGGCACAAGACACACCATCACCTCTACCGAAGAGACTTCGTTCTGGTTGGCCACCATTGCTACTCGGAACGGGCTTGACGATATAATACAATTTGGGGGTACGGTTTCTGGGGGCCGATCCTATTCGGTGTACCGGAACAGAGGTGCAGCGACATGGGACGCCACACCGACCACTTTCACCATCCCAGATGCCTGCATCGCACGCGGCGTACGATGGGCAGATATGAACGGTATACTCCCAGAAGGCCCCATAACTTCAAGCACTGATGATCTGACTATGGCTTGCCTAGGCGACGGACTTGATGATTTTGTTTGTATCGCCCCAGGTGGCGAGCTCTCTGTCGCTATTAATCGCGGCAATCTTGTCTTTGATTATACTGGTGCGGGCAAGTATAAGTCTAGCGAGGGATACCTGCAAGCCCGAATTCATCTCGCGGATGTGGATGGAGACGGACGATTTGACTACTGTGCGGCCCGTGACAACGGTGATGTTCAGTGCTGGCGGAATGGCGGGAGGTGTAAGTGAACCAATCCACGGGCTCCTTACACCTGAAGACTTTCGATTCTGACACTGAACTACGGCTTGTCACAGCTGATACTGCTGATTTATGGCAAGATATGGGCATTGTGTTCACGGGGAAGAACATGGGCGACCTTAATGGTGTCCGATTCAGCGACATTAATGGTGATGTAAGTTTACTAGCAGGCCTTTTCGCTTCTCCCAACTCTATTCCATCTAGCGCGGCTCATCTGTCTAGGTTGTACCTCAGTGCTGACTTGATCAACTAGGGTCGTAGTGACTGGCTTTGGCTGAACGATCAAGGCGCAACAGTAAGCAGCCACCCATATGAGATTCCGAGAGCCTTGCTGCGTGTAGTCTGCGTCTCGGCAGTTTTTTTCTGGGACAGAGAATCAGAACACAACAGCCTGGCCATTCGCGAACTCATAGACAACTTCTTCCTTGATGTTTTGCCAGCTGACTCTGATTGCTGCAGTGGACTTGGACCAACAGCCGGGGCTGTGTCAAAGGAATCGAGGGTCAAGGTCTGACTCCCACTTGGCGTGCTGGGGAGAATCGTGCAAATGGTGCTGGCCCAACTCACATTGGTCTGGGTTTTGCCGGGGCTCGAAGTGGAATCCACTTCGCCAAAGCATTTGGAAACCCTCAAGCATACAACCTTCTGCCAGGCAGAGACTATGTCTGGATCGAACACACTACGAGCGCAAGTTTACGCAGCACGTCATCTAACATAGATGAAATGACCGGATTCACAACGACTTCTTCTACAGGAGATAGTCTCCCGCCTCTCGACAACACGACTATAGAATCCCGAAGCAGCATTGAAGCTTCGTCACGTCAAGTGAAGCCCCGAGCTGCTGCCCACACCTATAAAATCAACGTCTGGAGGAATGAGGGCATTGGTGGGTCGAAACTGAAGAGTATGTTGTCTTTCGCGTAATTTCTGCAATTATATTGCTAACGTTCATATTTTGAAGGTGATGGAGACCGATACTGCAACATGAGAGGCCGCTCCAATGGTCGCCAGGACTACGTCTGGATCTTTTCGTAAGTACCGTTCTTGTTCTTTCACTGTTCCCCATCTGTCACGTTGCAGAATGTTCTAGAATTCATCACTTTAGGCTCCGTAGCAGGTTATTAACACGTACTAGCAACGGCAAGATGCACATTCACGAGGCTCTCGACGCTTTCCGAGATAGTCCCCCATACTGGGGAAGTGACTATGTCATGTTCGATCTCACCGGCAGCAGAGCGATGGACAGAAGGGATCTCCATCTTGCTGATTGGGATGGTGACGGGGCTTGCGACAGTAAGTCTCTTCCAAGGGATCCTGGCACATTCTCAGGGCCATCGATGGCCGGTTTAGGGTCGCTTTAATTTGTTAGAGTCCCAGTGACCACGCTCCCCTAGACTTTATCCAGATTTGCGTGCGGAAGATTTTGAGGCGTTGCAGTTCTGCCACTAACCAAAACCGCAGTCATCTACACAGATCCAGATGGAGGAGCAGTCGAGGTCTGGATGAATCGCATCAAGACCACGGGTAACTTCAATTGGGAGTATATTGGCAATCCTGCGCCAAAGCTCTCATGCGATCAGAAGAGAGGCGTGGGGATCAATGACCTCGCCGTTCGATTTGCCGACCTTAGGTGAGTTTTTGTTATTTAACTATGCAATTTCCACAAATTCTGATGGTCGTTACAGCGGAAATGGACGCCCAGACTATCTCTGTATGGAGAGAGACGGCCGTACAAAGGGATATCTCCACAACAGCGACGGCTCATTCGATTGGATTCCGCAATTCAAGAAGACCGACAATTTCGACCGTGCCAATTATCGGTGGGCCGACGTCAATGGTAAGAGTCAAATTAAGAAATCAGTCTTTGGAAGCATCTAACCAAGTTCTCCAGGTGATGGCCGTGCCGACTTGATCTGGACGGATAAGTTCAAGGGCGATGCGACCGTTTGGACAAACCAGGGCATGGTACCGTCCGGGGACAGTTCATTCACATGGGTCAACAAAGGACCATTGTACAATGCTCCTGCACAGGGTAAGGATTCTGGCCTGGGATTTCTTTCCGAGAAATAATAGCAGCCGCTAACCATAATACGCTGCCCAGGACATTGTCTACACTTCCCTGACCTGGACGGAAATAAGCGGGCAGATATGCTCTTCGCGGAGGCCGTTGAGAATTCGGCACAAACGTGGTTTAATACTTGTCCGAACGGTTCTACCGACGATGCAGACACTTTCACAAGCCCGGCTCTGCCGTCGCCGCCATAGTGGTTGCATTCGCAGGTTTTCTGTTTCTTGATATTTCTCGAAATTCATCTAGAAGAACACAAAACCACGTTGTACCCTGGCCACCAGTGCTTGGAAATCAATCTTACTAATACATTTATAATGAGGTAGACTAGTATATGGGTGGTTCCGAGCATCTGGCTGCATGAGGGTTGGATGTTTAGTGGTTGGATGACTATACTAGCTATTGCAACTCCTCCCTGCAAGCAAGACGAGAAGACTGATGAGGGATATGGAAGATCAAGTATGGCGCACTTGTTGTGAAAATTCAATACCAAGATGGGCCGTGTATAATGTTTGCAACCACTATCAAGTACAACATTAGAAAGATCCAGCCTTGCGGCTCCGAGGCAACTCCGAGGCCATTATGGAAGAAGACATGGATTCAGACACAAGGACTCCGTAGCTGAACCATCAGAAGTTATTTGAGAGCCCGTAGTGTATTGAAGCAAGAGTGTACTATGCGTCTCAGGCGCAGGAGCATCGGAGCATCGCGAGGCAACAAAGATAGCATTATGGCAAGAGCAAATCAATATATTTATACCAGATAATGAGCGTATCGTCGTTAAAGTCATAAACTTTGAGGCCTGAAAAGAACTTGACCAGAACACCTTCATCAACATAAGCATTGGCACACACTTCCCGAGCAGAGTCATCCCTTTCCGTCGCGCGTTATCAAATGCCAATGGAAGCAATGAGACGAGCCAGAATGGTAAGAACCCCGGTGATCGCGCCACGAAGTCCAGACACCTGAGCCCCAATACTGAGTGTGGCAGCCGCGTTGGCGAATGCTGTCACTGGGCCGACGAAGGGTTGAATGGCCGATGCGACCGCCGCAATCTCATTTTGTACAAGCTGATTGGCAGCCGCGTCGAGGTCCGCGTGCACCTGTGATGTCAAGAATTAGCTGATGATCTCGGAAGCCATGTGCTTGCACGTAATCGCCCAGATCGTTGCTAGTTTGGAGCCTCGTGGATGAAAACTTACGATGGTGACTGTGGCATTGATATTCTGGAGGATGACGCCGATGGCCTGCAGGTCCTGAGCCAGAAGGTCGACCTCGCTTTGGATGAGGATCGCAGCCCTGGTGTTGATTTCTCCGGTTGCGGTGAGGGTCGCACGAAGGATGTTTCCAGCAGCAGCGTTGAGGGTCGCAGTGATGTTAGCTGCGCTACCCTGAATAGCAGCAATGGCAGCTTGGGCAATTGCGGTATAAACATTGGCCTCGCCCGCGATCGTAGCGACGCTTGACTCTAGTCGAAACAAAAGGGTTGTCAGTCAACTTTCCTAGTTGATTCAACTGCCATGGATTTCACTATAGAGTCATTCAGCAAGAACATACCGATGGTGGACAGATAAGTCGGCAGAGTGTTCTTCACAGTATTGACCGAGGCATCAATGGTGCCCACAACGGTTGGAGCGCGGGGATCGATCACTGGCACAGCTGCGGCCGAGGCGCTGCTGAGGGCGCAAAGTGTTGTTGCTGCGAGGGAGAACTTCATTTTGAGAGATGAGTGCAAAGATTGGTCTTGGTCTCGGTTGTCTGTGGCGAGGGAGTTTCTTGTTGTGTCTGAGTGAGGGAGCTGATGAAGAGCAGTCTTCGTATCCAGTATTTGTGCGGATAACCTCGGGCTATTTATACTTCCCTCCTCAGTGGCATAGCATATTGAATCAATGTAAGTGACATAATTGAGCTCGTTATGTTATGAGAATCCCACCTAGGCAACTTCGTGGGGGTTGCAGCAATCACTTCCTAATTTCTCGGATCTTAACGCTCCCTTGACCTAGTGAGACTACGGCCCGAGACTCCCTTGGGCTATGAAGCCTATAGCAGCCACAAGCCAGCACGTAAAGATGCCAAGGGGTCCAAATGTAGCTCACCTTTGGTCATGCTCATGCCAAAAGCACGAATGATCATCAAGTTGGCGCCCAAAGTGGTTACACGCGATCCAATTGCCAACCTTGCCTGCGTCACAAAGAGGCGACGGGTAGGCCAGTCCAGACCAACAGACAAAGGAAATCAAATAAAGTTCACCGGGCACTTGCTCATAGCGCAATTGGACGAGGAGACGTGCGCAGTCCGTGACCGGCGGCCCTGCCAACAGTCAAGCTGGCGATTCAGCAGCCCAGTTGCATCGAGGCCCTCTAGTTGGGTCCCAGCCATCGTTGGCCCTCGTGTCTCACAGCATCCATCGTGGGCTGGGCCCGGCGATCAATACTGGCACGACATATCATGAGGGTCTCGGATCGTGGCCAGACTGTAACGCCACTGTTGGTATGGACGAATTGACGTCAATTAATTATTTGCAATGCACGATTCTCTCACACACACCCCCAGATGAGGTCCACCGACATGTCTTAGGAAAGCCCTTAGCTAGTTGTTCGAATTAAGTTTTCCTACTGTAGACCAACTGATCTATCGAATTCGTCACCCGTGATCAACACTCCCTTTGGCGACTGACGGTCCAGACTCCCGATAGACTTCAACTAGCTGGAACGTAAATACAATTTACAACCTGAATAAAATCTCTCCGTTGCATACCAATCGACATGAGTGTAGCCCAATGGACATTTTACATGTCGAAGTTGTCAGGTTTAGATGCGTTCAAGACAACTTGGCTGCCTGCCTCCACATCTGAAGAATATCACATCATGAATGCATGTGTGCCACGGAGGAAAGCTCTGACCGACCCCCAATCCTGCCTACGTAGGAAATATAAAATTCTTAGCTCTGATCTCTCACTTGCGGCTCAGCGAAAGAGTCCCGCCTTGGCATGACGGGACGCAACCCAAACAACAACCGTGCTCATGTCAACTCGCGTCTCGATCTGGCCAAATGGTTTTTTTGTTTCTTTCAACAAATGATCTCTATTGCCAAGGTTCATGTGGGGGCCGACATAAGTTCAATTGTGTGCTCTTGATCACGATGACAACACCGGCCGGCGGCCGGAACTCAATTATCCCTAAGCCATCGCAACGCACGCCCTCGACGATCCGGCTCCAGCGGCGGAAAGTAGCGGTCCCGTACGCCCGGATGCTAGTGTTACCGCTTGATCGATCGGAGAGAGCTTGCTAGGGACGGCCCTCACCTGTCAATACCACTGGTACCGGACTGTCAGAAGGCAAGCTGTCATGGTAGCGTCGCTGGGCGTTCTTTGATGCGGCGTTCGAGTTCGTGCAGATGACCAATCCGATGGTCCTTGCTAGCTATTTCGAACAAAGGACCCCACACTCATGGTGCGTCTGGTAAGTGTGCTAACCTTGGAATGTCGGGAGTTACACAAGCGTAGACAATTGGTTCACCAGCCTCTCGGGATCATCATGAACTCGCCGACTGTTCTAGGTCTCATCCAGGTCCTCAGTCTGGCCTCTTTATGTGACGCAATATGAGACGTTAGCTGCTAGGAGTGAACGATCATACTGAGAGCTCTCGATTCCGGTCCAAGAGGCTCTATTGTGCGATCGGTATCCCGGTAGAGCTCCCCCAGGAACTCATGTGCACCACGGGAAGTGTCAGCTCCCAGCCTTCTCCAACCCATACCCCCTATTCCACATACCTTTCTCAATCTTCCCAAACATCATAACATTTCGTCCAGGCTGCGTCGCAAAGTGGAGCCATAACTGTAAGATCATACGACCAGAATAATTGCAAGAAAGACGAGCACCAAAGACGACGGAACCGCCCACCGACGGCCAGGTGCCTGGCTCCCAGAATCTGTGCTATTTGGGTCCACGCCGTTGCCGACCCGGCCCAAGTACCATCTCCCAATGTCGGTCAGTCTCCCTCCGACGCTGAGCATGGTCGCGTTGGTGCCAACATTTGACACTGACGATCGAAACGCTCCAAAGAATGAGTGGCGCTCGATATAAGGTAGACGATCCAAGTACTCGGCCGACATCTTAAAGAAAACTTGTGTGTCTCTCAGAGACTGGTTATTGAGGTTGTACTCGGTGACCCAAATCGAAGTGTTCGGAAATCTGCAACTTGTCAGCACCCGGCCTTTCAACGTACAGAAACTAGCGGGCTACTCACCTTGCAGCGTACTGGCCAATATGGCTTGCCAGCCCCTCAAAAGCGCCATACCAATGCAGAGTCACGAAATCGTACGCGCATTGTGTGCCGGTGATGCTCGAACAGTTGCCTAGAAACTGCTCTAACCACGGTAGGCCACGCTCTGAGCCGGCTGGGGTGGGTAGACCGGCTCTGATGCCCAGCTTCTGAAGGGGAATAATATTATTCACCCAGACTCGGGCTCCGTACCCTGGACTGACGTTGCTGCCGCCGTTTTCGGACATCTCTGGTTCATTGAAGGTCAAAACGTTGGAAATCTTGGTACCGTTGTTCACAAGACCTTTGACGGTGTTAAGGAAGGACGTGTCGTTGATGTCGGAGGGGCCACCCCAGAGCATGGGAACAAATTCCAATTCATCCTGTGATAAGCCACGAAAAGTCTCTGGTGGAGATGGAGTGTAACTATAATACCAAGATAGTCTCCCCGGTTGATCAGTCCATATGCGGTCATCTTCTGGCGTTCTGGCGTCCGGTACGTAGCAGAGCCCACGTTTTGTCGGGTTGGTTGATCCGGAGAGGCTGGTCAAGATAAGCAACGATACCAAAACTGGCGTGATGGTGCCCAGCCGTAGGCGCATATTTGAAGCTAGGTACAAAGTCGAAATGAATGACCGAAGAGCGAGACAAGAAATAGTAGGGCAGCGGTGGGCGGATTAGCTGGCTCAGTCGTGGGGTTTCTTGGGTGGTTTCCAGAACCTTGAGGCATTGTGAATAAGTGGTCTTGCAGCTTGGGGAATCACGAAGGGACATTGCTCTAGTCTTTTCCAGCATATGAATTTCGGTGTCCCACTGATGTCCAGAAGTAGTGTGCTGCGCCAATCGCTCTAGCCTCAGTCCGAACTTATTAGTGCTGCTACCCTGGGGAACAGTGGCTCGGAACAGGCTGCCCGGCAAGCTACAGGACGAAACTGTCTGCGCTATATAAGAGACATGTTTTGAGCCAGCTACCGGACCGTGAGAGGTGTGAGGCCTCAGTCCAGTCTACCGCGAAACTGTGGGGGTAATGGAAAGACCACCGTCATGTTGAGTCATCATAGTTGAGATCGGGTCCGCAAGCCTTTACCACCATTATGTACATTGAGAAATGGGGCATATAAAAAGACGATATGCTCCATGTATGTAGTGGATATGCCATGTGAATGGTGAGTGCCTGCAGAGACCTGGAGCCCCAAAGTCAGGGCTGGGAGACGGACTAAGCCCCGTCTCCCCACCAAATTGGCCTGTGGGACCAACACAATCCTGGTGGTGGCAGGCACATTCCCATCCAACCCCCACCACAAACGCCATTGTCTGCAGTCCAAATCCTCATATCTGTTCACCTCGCAGCCGACCTGAGAGACAAGACTGTAGATGTGACGTTCGAGGAAGGAACTCTAGATGCCATGATCTACGGCAGTGGCTAGAGCTCAGCAGATGAGTTGAGGAGCAATACAAGCCAAACACATGAAAGAAGGCGTCGCGTTCTCGAGGACGACGGTGTGTTTATCTCTGGACCAACGCACTCCATGCGCCCACTGTTGAATGACCAAAACTTTTCCAGACTTTGGGAGCCAATTCTTGAATAGAAGTCATGCTCGAGAATCACCGTTCTGATTCTCATTGTGCAGCTGGTGATGTCATAGGCCGGCGAATCAACGAGGCTCCTTCGCTTTGGGCACCTTGATGGACACCTCCTGGGGATGTGGGGCTCAGCTTGAGAGCGCATCTGCATAACTTGTGCGGCTTGTGGGAGAACCTTGATGGCCACATACCCATTGTCCGCCGGTGGGACCCCGTGGATAATGTGCATCCCCGACGCAAGCCTGACCGACGCCGTTGACCTTTTCTTGCCCGCTTCTCTGGTAGACAGCAGAATACGTCCCGTCTTCTCCCAGCGCAACACTTCAAGTTCGCTGTGACGATACTTGTAATAACTTTCTCTCGTCTTTTGGTTTTCCCTTGAGTCGGAAAGGATATGTCTCAACAACAGCAGACCCCTCTCCTTTGGGTTCCGGCCGAGATTCGCCTAAACATCTACAGCTACCTTCTCAATGACGGCGGAAACCAATGGCTCTCGGTTCGCAATCGGCCAGACGCCAGGTACAAACAATGGGAAGTCGAGGTTGGAAACCAGAGCCCCGTCGTAACAAGACAGTCTACAAAGTATCACGTTATAGAACGAACCTCCATGTTTAGCCGCCGCTGTTTTGAAACGACCTACCATCTTGCCAGCGACGGTGCCGAATTCCACACCGCCATTCTCAGTGTCTGCCGTCTTATCCACAACGAGACCTCTCATATTCTCTATGGAAAGCATTTGTTCGAGTTCGGAAATCATATCGAGGCTGTCGTCCCGTTCCTTCAGGACCGATCACCGCACACGCGGTCTCTCGTCACCGGCATCTCGGTATACAAACGAGGACCGCTACCCTGCCTGGATTGCACTAGCGATAGGCACGAGTGGTCGTACTTGTGCCGCTACTTGAACGAGTCCAGGTCCGTGAAGAAGTTGCGGCTCGTGGTTGAAGGTGGCAGGCCAGGGAAGCCGTGGGAGGGCGTGCAGGAGCTGAGCGAGGCTGACATCAGACTGCTGAGTCTCATTCAGCACGAAAGCCTACAGTGGATCACGGAACTGTCCCAGGTCAAAGGAATAGAGGAGCTCGATGTTGTTTCAGACATGAAATATCTGCCAGTCCCCAAGTCCCCAGGCATGATTCTGTATGCTGCTATTTCTGCATCCATAGAAAAGGGGCTGACGGATTTCTTTCGCTCGGAGATGAATAATGCTGGCTGAGAGCTGAATCTTCGGCTGCTGTCCCCGACGTACAATACAAATAGTTATTACAACCAATGGCTAACATTGCTCTGGCTGGTAAAACAACAATATCTACTGCACCATGATACATGTTGAAATATTTACATCTTAGCAAGAAGCATGGACACGCCGGATCAGGATCCTTGAGCAAGCGAGGTAAGCAGACCCTTGCTCTCGCACCCTTGCTCGATATCCGTCACGGTCGTCAGGTGAGCCAATGTCAGATTGGACATGTCCGCCCACTGCATCACAGTGCCCCCGGGACCCTCGTACGCAGGCCAGCCGATCGAGTTCAGGCCATCAACGGGATCTGCGACAAAGGCAAGGTACGCATCCTGCAGGGTGTGGCTGACGGCGTACTCGAAAGGGGTGGAGTTGCCGCGGAAGTTCATGTGCGTCCCGAAAAGCATGGGGAGCTCCGATTCGTGATATGCACCCATCCAGGGCTGCGGGCTGGTGTTGGTGAAGTTGCCGGTGTAGTAGTACCGATGAGTAACGCGGCTGTTCTCGAGGCGCTCACTGCAGATCATGGTCAGCTCTCTGTATCAACTTCTGCTCCGCTCTTGTATCAGATGACTTACTACGTGGTCAAAGTTGCTGGGCACCAGAAGTAGTTGTATGAGTACTCTAGGGCAGTTTCCAGATCTGGGTTGGTAGCGTTGTATGTGGTCAAGAACAGGCCTTCGTTCTCGTTGAAACCAATGATAGCAGGCTTTGAATGCATTGCAAGATTAGCCATGTACTCGTTGAACTTTGTTCTGCTCGTATGAGAGGATGATCAGTCACATACCAGGTCAGACATTTCTCCACCCGCAGCTTTCTCTGTGTAGTTGTTGAACACAAGCTTGTCGTCCACCACCGGGATGAAGTTGATGGAGGGAGAGGCTCCCGAGTCCTCGTAAGTGGCGACGAAGTTCTCGAGCTCCGCAGCAGGGACCTTGCGCATGCACTCAAGTTCCGCCTCAGAGGTGGTCTGGTTACCACAGCCAAAATGGGCCGCCACAAGGCTGAAGCTGGAGAATTCCGTCGTTTCTCGGTTGATGAGAATGTCAAGATGAGCTGTGCCAGAGTCCATGATCAAGCCTTTGACGATAGGCTCCTCGGCGTAAGCGAAGTTGTACATGTCCACAGCTGTTGATCCAGCGGACTGGCCCCAGATAACCATGCGTTCTGGATCGCCACCGAACTTGGCGATGTTCTCTTGTATCCACTCGACTGCGAATCTCTGGTCCATCAGACCAAAGTTTTGTTCCTCAAGAGCAGCGGCGGTTGGGAACCCAAAGATGTTCAAACGATAGCTGCGACTCCACGTCAGATCTTTTGCCTTGAATCAGTTTGCCTCAGCCCGGAGCTTTGACTCACTTGAACGAGACCACAATGTGAGACTGCGATCTCTCAATCCAATCCACAGGGATTTGGTATGGGACGTCAATACCGCCAGTAGCAAATCCTCCGCCATAAAACCAAATCAGGACTGGCAACGCCTCCTCGGCTTCCAAAGCCTTTGCTGGTGCCCAGACGCTCATCGTCAAACAGTCCTCGGCCATTCCGGCACTGCCTATCATATACTCTGGTGCATCGGTCCGGAGGATACCTGGGTGAACTGAGATGTACTGCCAGCAGGAAGGTGGCAGCGCCGTGGCGTTGACGACGGAGCTGTTGGAAGCGACCTCGTATTCCTGGGGAGGTGCCCATCGCAAATCGTCGACGGGTGGCTGCGCGTACGGGATACCGAGGAACTCCGTGACGGTGGATGCTGCGGGAGCGAGGCGGCCCTGCACCGAGAGCCCGTTGTCGAGGTGCACGACGGGATCTGCCGCGCGCTCAGTGATGGTGTGTCTCGGCATCGACGAGGCGGCAACAGTTGACGACATAAAAGCCGCCCATGCGGCACCAAACTTCTGGGCAACCATTTTGTCCTCCTCTTTTTCCGTCTGCTTGGTCCGACGATGCCGTTCTGCAATTGTCCTTGGCTGGCTAGCCCTCACAGATTGCCTGGTGTTAGCTGAGGGGCCAGCGCACCCTTTAAATGTGTCCGTGGACAATCTACACACGATAGAAACCTTGCATGATCTCCTCTACAATGGGGCCCGCATTGGCCTGGTTCATCCGAGCACTCTTCCGCGAGCAAATCATCATGCCAAAATGGGTTGTTTACCGTTACATCGTGACCATGCGTGTCCCCACAACCCCAGCTTTTCGGACCGTTTCCAGGTCCTAACGCAGGTACGCGAACAGGCGATTGCGCTCTTACAGCCCACTGATATACCCCACGGCATGGGTCGACTTGACTCGTAGCCCCTGACCCGCATCCGATGGCCTGGGCCGCTTCCGGTCGAAGATCTCGTGAGCATGTTGAGGAACGCATTAAAAAACACTTATTGCTATGAATTACGGACTTATCTAGGGTACTGTATTTGACTACAAAGAGCTCGGTCACTCTGTTTGGATGAGAGGGCACTTCAGATTTGCACTATTCATTGTATGCGATTGGATTTTTCAACATGCGCCTAACGTCATAATGATTTTCCCGCCATTCGCCTTGTTTGAAAAGACCATGTGTGACAGTGTTTGACTTCAGTACCACAAGGTAGAGATACTGCCAAGTGAAGCAGTGGTGAGTTTTTTTTTTTTTTTTTTTTTTTTTTTTTTTTTTTTTTTTTTTTTTTTTTTTGGTATTTGCATGTCACCGAAGCAGGCCTTGGTTGCTTGAGGTCATGGTCCGCCAATTGGGGAACCAGCAGGCCAACAAGCTTAACTTTTCGATCTATGCTCATTCGTTACAAAGGGAATACCCAGTATCAGTTAGTATAACCCGGTTTGAATTGCCTCCTATCCGTCCAAGATATTTCTAGATGGCTCTCGCACGGAGTGGCCTCTGCACCTTGGTCTCAATTCAAGTTGATCTTGATGGCAAAACTTTTACAATTCAAACTGTACATGATAGATTGGCGTTAAGATACGATGAAAGTTTTTCCATGTGGTGCGGTTTGAAATATTTACGCTATCCATAAAGGGAATAACACATGACGAGTGTGTGCAGCATTTTCTTTCTTGATATCACACTGGACGGGCCCAGAAATACCGTGAGAATCTACCTAGGTAGCCGTCCCGTATGTTTATTCGGGATGAATTTGTCGATTGATTGCAGCTGGGCAAGGCCCCCAGCAGATGCCATCTGCTTCGCATCTAACTACACGTGAGTTGCATCGAAACCGGATGCACAGTATGTAATATTCGAGTTCGTACAGCTGTATATCAAGTGATCAGACCGGTCAGGCGTTTCACTACCTCGAAACAGAAGAGTCAATGTAGCTAATGGCATCGTTCTGATCGAATTGAAAGGGAAAATCACGATTCTGAACTTTCATAATAACCATTTTTCGCATCTTCTGCGTGACATTTTGAGTATACCCGGTCTAAGACCGTCAATGATCATTCATCTGAAGTGCCGCTGCCTGAGTCGTGACACTCGTGCTTCGACATCGCATGACTTGGTGCTGTTGCTGACTGAACAGAATGCTGCTTTGACTTACGAGAAGATCGCTCACTGAAGAAAGATTGCTGAAAATGGTCGGGCTTCTTTGCATTAGACCGAGGAGCACAGGCAGAGCCGCGTAGGCCAGTGTTCATGGCCAAGTCCAAGACTGAGTCAACGGCTGTCTGTGCCAAATCAACGATCCAACCCACGCTCAGCTGATTGGAGAAAGGTCATGGGATCATAATGTCAATGGAAGAAGATAAAAACGTCTTGAAAATGCAAGCCCGCGGTTGCTTGAGCGGCTGGGGGAAGAACACCGACGGGATGAAGTTTCAATGTTGCATTTCCATCAACTTAGCTGACAGCGATGCTCTCTCAGGTTGCTGGATCAGGGGCCTCGTCAGTAAGAAAGACAGCCAAACTGTCTCTCATGAACAAACTTGAATGCAGATGGTAACACAGACATTGCATGTGAGAGAAGTGGTTATCTCAAGGGGTGACTGAATAGACGGGCCAACAGCTTGCGCGTTTTACACACCGAATTATTTGAGCTCGCCGGACCCAGGAAGATGAGGAGGAAACGGGCTTTAAAGATCAGGAACCTTAAGCTAACATCTGAAGAAGATGGTAACTGAGTGACCTGTTGCAAATCACTCACTCGCTGCGCCCCCCGAACAGAGGGGCTTTCTCTATTGTGGAGAAGACATGTAGATCTGTTTTCCTCGGTCTCACATGACACTGACTTAGCAATGATAATGTTTCGCGAGGATCCATCATTCTTTTTTCAATTCCTATCTTCCCGGGCGAGGACCGTAGATCTACGGTGCAGGAATGACTCCGTACGATGGCAAAGGTGAGCGCATGTACACTTAGTCACCAAAAGCATCGGTGCTCATTATCATCTCAAGGAAAAAATACGTGTTTTTATTCTTAGAATCAGATACTAGATCATTTGAAATGTTGTAGTGCTGCAGCATATGTCCGCGTTCCATTCAAATGGCGCGAAACCCCCGTCGAGGTGCTTCATTCAGTGTTTAGCCCGAGCTCAAAATTGTCACAGACTGCAATGAAGCAGACTGAAATGCCAGCAAAAACAGCATGTCCCTGATTTCCTGTGACATTTCTGCATACCCCAAGTAAATTGACTGCTTCATTCGAGCAAATACGGCCTTCATCTCGACGTCACAATCCAAAGGATCAAAGATCCAGTGAAGTCAAAACTGTCTTATAATGGGCTCATCATCGAGTTCTTACATATGTTCAAATGGGAGCTATGTCCCTTCCTTCAGGAATGGTCCGTAGTGGGCAGAGCATCACACTTGACTCGAGCTTATCCGTTCGACCCATCTGCAGGTCTATGATGAGGGTTTCCTTCAATCATTTAGTTTACGTAATTGCAAAAAATATTACTTCATTGGCAGATGAGCTTGGATAGCCGAAAGCAGAGCGGGATATCTTGTTCCTCAGCGATATCATGGCACTGAGCGCCCAAAGAGACCAGTCTTAGTATGCACAGTAGCAGCACATATACCACGCGCCCTTGAAGATGCAATCGTTCATGAATTTCGTCGACTTTGTCTCGGAATACGGGATTGCAAGGAATTGCAAGTCTGGGCAAGATATACTTGAATACAGAGGGAAAATGGATGCACCCACAACCCCCTGTGTGGCTTTCATGCTTATCTAGCCAGGGTTACAACTGATATCTGGCAGATTACCTAGGTATTCGTGTCAGTCTCCGCCCCTTTCACAACAAGCACTCAGGTGGTTCCAATTGCTCGATTCGCATCTTGGTGGCCCGAGTCCTTGTCCTTGCCTCGACTAAGGCATGAGCAATATGCTAAGCAGACAATGCGAGCATCGTGGAATTGGGTGCTGCCGGACTCGTCGGAAATAACAACTCTCGACATCAACTACCCTGGCTTCCCGTCAACCCAGCCGAAGTCGCCAAAGAATTCCATTTTCCATGCTTTAGGGTGCCGTGTAATCAAGCAGAAGCGAGTCCCAGGGGGCCCCAGCTTGCGTTACCCGCAAACGCTGTTTGCCTATTCGTTCTGTTCAAGATGACCTGAAACCATGTGCCGTCCATCCAAAGCATATTTCTCAGTTGAACCGATGTAACCTCACTCCCTTGAGCAGCACTGAATTCCATGTCTCTTCAGTCAGCCTGTGATAACAACGCTCAACCTGTGATTTCAATACTTGTGCCCCTTACAAGTGTTCCTGCATCAACCCATTGAGCCTTACAACGACCAGACCTCGCCAGGGATCGCGAGACCTGGAGCAGCTGATGCAAAAGCATGTTCCCCTATCGCTTCTTGAGAGGCCAATGATCTTTCCTATACCATATGAGTGTAAGGGGCCAGAGCATGAGACCAGACTGTCGGAGACTGGTGTGCCCGACGCGGAGCTACCACAACGTTCTTCAGGGTAACAGAGGGTGGCATTGGTGGGAGATCAGTCCGCTATTTGGAGTTACCCGCGGCGTCATGGGAGGTGTTATTGGGCTGTGCCGGAACAGCCGGGCACCCGAGTACCCGGCAGGGAGCCTGGGACGAATATTCATGTGGGGGCGGGTCCGCTCCAATGTCTCCCACAGAGTGAGGGTGGTTCAAGAAATGATCAACTCCATGTCCCCGCTGAATATACGTATACGGCCTTCTGCGGATTGCCGCGAGTGCTTCAAGCTTGATCGTTTTATTAGATACTTAGGTACATAGCCGAGGAGGCTAGGAGTAGGGCTGAGTTCCGATGAGATATCTCCGCTGTTGTCCTGCTCTCTGGGATCACTTTCCGTATCTACACGTATACCTCTAGACTTGGAACCTTACCAGACAGAAGTCCAAATCGAGATGGCTCGGAGCAGCCATTGCTTCTCATTCGAGACCGGTGGAGTGGGCCTCAACCCAATCGCTTGCGAGCTTTTCTCCCCCCGAGCAAGATCAACTTGGAGGGTTCCAGACAGAGCTTGTTTGCCGTGACCCCTCAACTCGAAGGTCCAGCATCACCCAAACAGTAACCTAGAATTCAAGAATTGATACGAGGTTCTTGTTTCAGAATAAGGTTCGCTGTGCCGGGCAACCTAGACAAGAATCGAGTGCTTTGATGATGGAACGGTTGCACGTGTTTAAGCTCCAGACTACACCCCCAGATTCTGCATGCAATGCGACCATGTTATCTGCAGCCATTAGCTGTAAATATCTCCGGGTTGGCAGCGGTGAAGCTTATAAGCCACCCAGTCATTACCTAAGCCCAGTGTTTACGCGAGATTAATTGCCTCCTTTCTACCGCACTGCCTCAATGTAATTAAACATTCTTCTTTTCTCAATCAGCTGCTTTTGGTCAGGCTGTCGCGCCGAGTGCGACGACTGGACTTATTTTCGTTTCTTGTGTGCTTTTCCCTTCTAAGGTTGCGTTGCCATCTGGACGGCACCATGCCGTGGCAGCCAGTGATCACAATACCCACTTTCATCTGCAGTACTTTGTCGAGTGTTGCTACCGCCGCGGTTTTGTTCATGTGGATGATATCAAATGATCCCGCCAAGAAGAGGTCCAGTCGATATGCTCTCGTTATAAATCTGACCTTGGCTGGTGAGGAGACACGCTTACCCTTTTGATACCTGGCATGTCTGAAGGACTGACCCGATACTCGCCGCGATTACAGAATTCATCAACTCTGCCAACAACACCATCTCTGGCGCTTGGGTTCTTTCGCATAAAACTTTGCTTCCCACTGGTCCGCCATGCAATTTCAATGGCTGGCTTGGCCAGGTGTCAGTCCAAGTGAGCACAAATGAGCACAAATGACTTGTACGTGATGTCTTTTGCTGACGTTTCCGTTCAGGCTGCAGATTTCTCTGTGCTTGCAATCGCTGTGTTGACCTTCATGACTCTGACTTTTAGTCGCTGGGTATCCAATACCTCCATGTTACAAACGGTCCTTATTTGCACATCAGTATGGTTGATTCCAGTGATCACGGCGACGACAGCTCTGGCCCTTCGAAAATATCAACCAGTATCGGGAAATTGGTGCTGGATAGCACCAGAACCGTTGTGGCTGCGATACATTCTCGGTCACGGATGGAGGATGTCGATATTCGTGGTTGTGATCGTCCTCTATGCCATTATATTCACCCGGGTCCGCCGACGTCTCATGGCGAGGGTGAACAGCAACCAGCACCGCTATTCCGTGACTTATGGATCACAAGTGGAATTGACTCAAGGGCAAGAGCAGTTGATACACGCTCACGATGAAATCTTGAAGGGCCAGAAAACTGTTCCCGGTGCTGGCCCTGACGATGGTAAGTGGAGACTCTTCTACGAAGCCAGGTACGCACTGCCGAGCAAGTTGATTGACTCGAATCCGAAAGGCAAAGACGATCCGGTCAAGCGCCCCGAACTGGCTCGTTCCGCTTTCTCATACGACGATGATGCCGAAAGGCAAAGGAGACAGCTGAGGCTGGCGCTCAAGCCGAAGCTGCGGATCATACAAAGCTCGAAGCTTGACCAGGAAACGTGGCACTGGTTCCTGCTCAGCGCATTTCCTCTGTCCTATATACTTGTGTGGATTCCGGGCCTAGCGAATCGCTTTGTCGAACTGAGTGGAAACTCGTCAAGCTGGCTGTCAGCATTGCAGGCCATGACCCAGCTCACCGGTTTAATCAATGCTATGGTATATGGTCTCAGAGAGCATCGTGGCCTGTGGCGAAATCTTGGAGAGCGTTATCACAACCAATACTAACCTTGACATCCAAAATCAACCGTTCAAGTCGCGCTCGGCGCGGGGACGTCGAGGCAGAATCAGACTTCGCAAGATGATTATCATGAATTGAAGGCGTCCTTTGGTGCGTCAGTACAGCTGTGCTGTCAAAGGAATAATGTTTATAATAATGAGCAATGTAGAATGAACAATCAACGTCTCATTATTAATCGCTGCAGCTCTTTGAAACGAGTCTATGGTATCCGTGCCTGGACTTGCAGCAGCTTCTACACAAATGTTGGTACATTCAAGCAGCGTAGGCGGCTCCAAACGGTTGAAGTTGCATACCCTCAATGTCGACATATCCGAACTTTGAGCCATCCTTGTTGTTTGCCATTCCCTCGGACCATTTCTGCATGGACTCCAGGAAAGCATCTTTGTGTTTTTCCTGGCTCATGTCGAGGGGCTCCTTGTCTTGCCCGACAAGTCGAATCCTGTTGTTTCATTAGCATGTACTAGTACCGAATGAGCCGGGTCAAGATTTGAGTGAGTACTCACTGTGTGCCAGCGGCCACATTTGTAGCACCAAAGTCCTGCTCGTCCAACTTGTATTGAATCGCACTCTTGGCCTTGCCTTCTAGAATCTTCTTGGGCAAGTCGAACTCATGGGCAATGGGCCTTGCCAGCGACACTCCATGGACGGAGTCCAAGGCCTTCACCATGGCGCCTGTGGATCTCAGGCCGCCCACGACGTATGCTTTCGTCTTCTTGAGCCTTGGAACAATGGTATCGGCGAACTCGAGGAAGAATGCCTCTCGCTTCTTGGTGGACTCCCTCTTGTGCTTAAACGCCAGGTTCTCGTATGTTCCACCAGAGAGCTCAACGTAGTCGAAGCCGTGCTTCTCAAGCTCCTCGCATAGCGAAGCACAGTCCTCGGGGCTGAAACCGCCCTTCTGGAACTCAACGCTGTTAATCTTAATGCCCAAGCTGAAGGAAGGATCGTTCACGCGGGCCTTGATTGCGTCTGCAATCTCCATGATGATTCTCCCACGATTGAGAAGCGAGCCTCCGTACTGGTCCGTACGCTTGTTTGTTGACGGCGCAAGGAACTGTGCGAGAAGGTAGCCATGAGCACCATGCAACTGAACACCATCAAAACCAGCCTTGTGGGAGTACTCTGCGGCGTGGGCGAAGCCCTCGATAACACGATCGATATCCTTCTGCTCCATCGGCCGAGGCTTGGCGAAACGCATGCCCATAACGTCACCCTCGAGCTGTACGTCACTCGCGGAGATTGGGTGCTTTTGAACGTCTTCGGACACTTGACGTCCAGGGTGGCTCAACTGGGCCACGAATAGGCTGCCCTCTTTCTTCGCAGCGGCAGCCAGCTCCTTGTATGCCTCAAATCTCTTTCCTTCGGCGGCCTCGTCGATAGGAATGATCAGGTTTCCCGGAGCCTCGAGATGGTCATACTCGATCATGACGTTGCCTGACAATATTACGCCGAAGCCGCCCTCGCCCCAACGTCGGTACACGTTGATGAGTTCTGGTGTTGGGACGCCGCGCTTCTTGAGGTCGTTTGGATCCCAAGTCGACAGGCGCTCTGTCATTGCCGCCTTCATGAATCGATTCTTTGCCGTCAGACCGCTGAATTCGAACTTGAGGGGCTGACCCAGAGGGCTGGGGTCGACATCCTCGGACTCAAAACGTGTGGGCGCCATGGTTTTGACAACACAGATTCCCTGGACACAAGCGTGGGCGAACTTGTTGATGCGTGAAGAGTGATGCTGTTGGTAGGATTATCGGTGTAAGTGAAGGTGGTCTCAGTTTGCTGCCTATTGGTGGCGCCTCACGATAGCTTGAGCTGAGTGGTCCGCCGTGTCACGCCGACTCTTTTATGATGGCTGGTTTAGAAATCACACAGAACGATGAAGTCACTATTACTACCATACAATTCAGAATTAGAAATCAGAGTGCCGCGGCAGTTCAAACTGTGGGACTTGGTAAATCCGCTTTTTGGGACTCGGTACCTAGGCTTCGTAACGCGACAAAACTGCTAAGTCATGTCGTCATTGCTGGTAGGCCCGGCACCCAGGCTGCCGGGTTTGGAAAGGCACTAGGGACCGATAGAAACCAGAATCCCCTCAACATGGTGATGAGAGCACCTGATGCTTTCTGGTTCTTAGCATGAGATAAAACCACACCCATCGCCCTGGCAGCCGTTCAACTCTCGTACGATTTTACCAGCTTTTGCCACTGCGCTAGTGATACTAGCATAACTCCTCAAGACTCCACCATCCCCGCTATCAACATCTGCTGGGCCCTCCTACCTTCGTGCCAGTCTCATAGCAAGGTAGACCGACCGCCCATTAGAAAGCCGAGACAAACCCGGAGTGCCACGTGCAATCCCACTGAGCAAATCAACGCTTGCCCGCAGTAGGTAAGAGAAGCCTGAGCTTATTCGACCACAGGCCAGAATGCCTTCTCAGCAGCCACTAATTCCGTCCACACCTTTTGCGCTCTCTGGACGAGAGATTCCTTGGCATCCTCGCCCAGAACAGTCACTACCTCGGATACTGCGTTATCAATAACACCAGAGAGTTGCTGGACAAAAGCCGCGAACTCGCTATTGCTCCAATTTGGGATAAGTTCCTTCCTCAATGCACCACCGTCTGCATCGCCCGCTCCAGCACCAGCCTCCCCGGCTTGCTTGGACTTAGCCCATGTCCAGGCATCAGAGTAGGTAATCTCCGTGCCCCAAAAAAGAACCGCAGCCTCAATCCAGGGGAGAGGCAGGTTCCTATCGACGCTCGCGGCGGGGTGCAACGAGCCAAAGAGCTTCTCGAACATGACGAGCCCGGGAAGCTTCGCGGTGCCGGGGACCCGCTGGACCTGCCTCCCGCCCTCGGTGGTAGTCATGGTCTCCAGGTCGATGGATAGGCCATACTTATGGGCGACATCGATGAACAGGCGCTCCTCCCTTCGCAGGGCCGTCAGCGTGGAGAAGAGCCAATCGACGAACCGCGTCTCGGGCGCTGCCTCGGCTGCGGGCTCTGGGGTTGTCTGCGGTAGGTCCACGATAGAGAGCGTACGTCCTACTGCCTTGATGTAGGCGTGCAGGTAAAGGCGGTCGTTGGCGAGCCACTTGCCCAAGGTCTGCTTGTCGAGACGCCCCTCACCAGCGGCTGTGAGGAAAGGGGCCTCGGTTGCGGCTTTGTACCCTGGCGGATCAACGCCAAGGAGGTGGGTTGTAAGCGAAAAAGAAGAACTTGCCATTTTCTTGGACGTGTGTAGAGTTTGACTGGATTCGTGATGCCGTTGATAGAGGAAGACATCAAAAGAGCGCACGTGGTGTTGACCTCAAGCTCAGGGTGACGTAGTGCTTTTCAGCTGTACACACACCCGAACCCTATGTATTGTGTTGTATGTGGGTATCTCCCCTCTCTGCACGAGACACTTGCAGCCATGCCTCCAGATCCCGCGAAGGGAGATCAACTCATCTGAGACCAATGGCCAGACCTGAGACTTTGACGAGCTTGTCGTGACTAGAGTCTCCCTGCGTTCGTGGGGGACCAAATGTGACCATGCCAACTTCGCTGCCGAGCCGATCCCGTCCCCTCCCTGATCAATGTCTGCGTCCTGAGACTCGAGTTCAGGTCCTCTGAGGGATCCCGACGCTCTTCAGATTCGTCTCATCCACCTGCTGCCCTCGCACCGTCTTGACCAAACCATCCAACCAGTCTTGGTGTCCTAGCAGCATCTTGTTTGGCACTGCTCCTGCCCACTCCTGGAAAATCGACCCAATTTGGCTCTCCTGCGTCGAGATCCTCACCCTGCCGCCTTCCAAGTCCTCCACCAGCCAAGCGTGATAGATGGCAGCCCCATCCCCCGCATCAGCGCTCCACGCAAGCCTTCCCGCTGTGCCGCTCCCTGGCGTCACGGACTCCTCTACAGTGCAGGTCAACGGCGGGAAGCCGAAGGTGGCGAACTTGAAGATGTCGCCTTTCTTGAGCATGGGTCCCGACTCGGGCACGGTGATTTGACCGCAGTTCAGGTAGTAGGACTCCCACTTTGTGCTATCGTCCAGCAGCGCCCAGATCTGTGCGGCTGTGATCCCCTTGGCGATGACCTCATTGGACACATAGTTGTCCGTCTCGCCTGGGGTGAATTTGGCTGGCCAGATGATCGCCGACTGGGTAGCCATGGTGAGCTCGCGGTGGAAGATGTCTTGGCAAAGATGAGAAAACGAATATGTCCAAAGAGTGCGGTGACTTGATTACTGTAGTTAGCTAGGCAGGCTGAATCCTGATGTCAACTGCCTAGTGATACTTATATGTCTAGTATTCCCAAGCTTACGAATCCTCTGTCCAAAATCTGTGACATTGGCGGGGTCTTTGATTACTGTACAAGGACGGGGAAACTAGTCCAACCGTCCTTACTTAAGTACCGCATATTGGAATAGTCGACTAACTTGAGCTACAAATCACCTGGGCAGCGGGTCTGCTCGATAATACAGATGTGGACAGATATGGGCACAATTGTAATTTAGAGACACAGACATTTCGTGCGTATGCTCTTGCTTCGCTCGTCACAAGGCAAACAAAGAGCTTTGAACGTAAGAAATGTCCAACATCGCAGCACCACCGGAATCAGATAGAATCGTGGTCTTAGTATGCCTTGTGCCTATGGCCGCCACATTTCCAAACAGATATGACTTCTGTTCTACACAGCCCTCGCAAGTCAGATTTATCACAACAAATCCTGGGCGGAATTGCTGCGTGCTCAGTAGATTCTGAATTTGCAGCCTGGGAATGGCCTGCAACACTGCATTTTACCGCCTGAAAACGCTCAGGTCATGATTTATCTACACACCGTCGGGCTCCCAACTTGGGCTCAACTTATCTCACAGTGTGGGAGAATTCAAAGGTCGGGTGGACGCGCAAGGGGGAGGGGAGGAAGGGGAAGGGGAACGTGAGCGCAAATTTGGCAAGGAATCACCTCGTCTCCCTGCTCGCAGACATCTTATGGGCATTTATTCGCCAACTGCTTGTCATTCCACGTATGGCTGCAGGGCGCCATGCCAGCACAAGGTTGCTGTGCGCCGGTACTCGTACTGCTGAACGCGGCCACAATGCAGCTTCACCCATAGGATGCAGGGAGTTCTAAAAAAAAAAATACACCGGTTGAGAGTTGTTGATTGTGAGAAGAAATGGGAATCCCCTTGATTTTCTGGAGGTTGCTTGTCCACTTTGCCAGGAGTCGACCTCGGAGGTCCGAGGTTCATCGCCGAGGCTCGGATGTAAGATCATGTCAGCATTCTCCTGGTCTCGGGAGCGACGTTCAGTGCAGGATGCGAGATCCGACGCTAGCGGCCTGGAGGCGCGGCAGAGACAAGAAGAGGTTTCCTCTGAGGCTTCGGGGATACGACCATGGAATCGACTTTGTGTCTGCGAGTCTGCAACGCCACAGGGCTTCTAGTGATTATGTGTGACGAGTTTGCTCGGTGTTTCGAGCTCCAAAAGAAAAGGCGTGCCATGACCATCAAGATGAATTTGTATTTAAGGAGACCTCTGCTCAAGCAAGCGGCAAGCCCATCATGTTCATCGATCAGATTCTTGAAACCTCATGAACTCCATGACCAGCCTCACTTCTAACTTGCAAAATATCGAGGCCTGCCAAAACAGCCCGGATACCACCACCAGTGCCACGGGCAGAGACGGCGAGATTTCGACGACAAGTCTTCCAAAAGGTCAATGGAAGCCATACAAGCCATGGCCTCTTACTTCAGAGCGCGCCCTCTCCTCACAACTAGCGCGGCCCTCTTCCTTGGGGGTGTAGTCATCGCCTACCGTGACTATCGCGCATATATAGCCCTTGGCCCTCACGGCCTCCCCGATACTTTCTCGGGTTGGTATACACAGCTCCGCATGTCTCTTAAGTCACGGAAGGACACCACAATCCCAGCCCCATACGATCTGGAGACTGTCGCAGGCCCGCATGATAGGGAGAGCTTCCTGCCCAAGACGGCCGCGGGCGGGCTGAGCTGGCGCCCCGGAAACAAAGCGCCCCAGATCCCTGGTTTTGTCGCGCCCCAGAGGCAGATCAGCGATATCGCGAGTACCGAGATGAAGAAGGCCATGTTTGTGTACCTAGACGCGCTTGTTGCCGCGAATGACAAGGCCTTGCAGACACAAACGAGTGTCTTGGAGGGCCCAGTCCCAGCAATGGGGTTAAGTGCGGAAGTGAAAGAGCGTGACCGGCCGGAAGTCCTACGGAGCACCAGAGGTGAAATGTGTCACATCCACCCGCCGGATGGGAGTACGCACTTGGTCATGAGCCTAAAAGACCAGAAGAGGATAATTGAGCTGGGCTGGGGCAGACGCCACAGGCTGAGCGGTGGCGGAAGGCTCCCATGGAATTATACATTTATATATGCGCCGCGCAATGATGAAGAGCTGGCAGTATGGAAAACCATTGTCCAAGCTGGTGCAACCTTTTGTTGTGCCAGCTTTGCTCGGATCCAGGCTGCTGGAGTGGATGGGTGAGCAGCCCCCGAGAAGTGTGGATGTAATCAGAGCAAAGGGTTTTGGATCCAAGGGAAGGATCAGCTCTGAACAGGCCTTGGGCAACTGCTGTTGGGTCATGTTTGTTGGTGTGAAGAAGAACCCATATCACAGAACAGAAGTTTGTAAAGCCCTTTGGGTTGTCTTTCTAGTCTTTGCTGCTTGGTCAGACATAGATTGGCATCTGAGTCTCTTCTTGGTCTCTACTTGCGACTTTTGCACTTCTGCTGATATATAGAGCCTTCGAAGTGATTCATAGCGGCCATATTGCTCAAATATGGCCAGGACCAGCTAAGAAAGCTCTCCCGGTTGTGGCTGCAGGGAATCAATACGGTGGCCGAGGGGTGTCGTGCAGGGTGTGCAGCTGGCTGTTGGCGATGTGATTCTGGCAGAGTCTGGCAGAGTCTGGCAGCGTGGAGGGTTGTAATGCGCCAAGCGAGCTTTGCATTTGGAAGCAGAGCAGTAAAGAAGCTTATTCCTTCCGCGTTAGCAAGGACGGAGTTGTAGATATTCGAAGTCTCGACAGAGGTAGTCAGAAGAATGGCAAAGCACACATCAGCCAGTATCGTGGCTCATGCAAGATTCGCAAATAGGCAGATGGTTGGGCAAGAGGTTTATTATCGGAGTTCCAGACACGGCACCTTGGTATTTGTATTCGTGCAGGGGCACGCTCACATGCTGGCGCCCAGAGTGGCGGAAGCAAGCTGTTTACCTAGTCGGGATGACAACATGTAGATCTGGCACGGATTGCAAAAGACGGTGGGATGCAGGGAGATAGGTTGGAGGGGAGGGTCTCTTGGAAGGCCATTGGAAGCAGGACATTGAGGCTCCCTATCCATCAGTTTCGAATTGAGGAGCAAGAAAAGGAGACAACCATGGGAGTTTCAATCAAGGTGAGAGAGCTCGGTGGTGGTCGGGCTGGCTGACTCATCCAGCTCAAGGCCCCATCCCCCTGCTGGGCCTGGTTCCACCTGCGGCTTCCTGGATGCCTGCACCCAAACTGACGGTGACGAAGCAAGCGGGAGCTCGCTCGAGGTGGGAGAGCTTGTCAGGATACCCACACCCCATGCCTCTGTCCCAGCTGTACCATGCCCACGCCATACCCCGTGCGTTGTCCATGAATTGATCGAGTGTTTAATTGATTAATTGATCAACTGCGAGGGTGCTGCAGGAGTTTCTGGCCTTGCACTGTCCCATACGTCCATTTCTTCCAGACTATTTCCAACTGTCCCGGCTTCCCGCGCCCTGCTCCGTGCTTACCTCCAACACTCGTCTCCTTCTCGCCCCGTCTGCCACCCTTCCACGCGGCCGACTGCGACAGCCACGGCGACAGCGACAGCGATCACGGCCCAGAGTGCGCTTCCGAACCGCGCCCGGCCCTGCCCCGAGACGGAACTATTGCGCCCACCCAGTACGGCGAGGCCGCCATAGGGTGGATTGGTGGACGATATCTCGAGCAGAAGAAGCAATCAATCCGCAAGATCAGGAGCCTGTCCGACGCCATGGCTGCCCCCGCCCCGCCCGAGGACCAGGTCCGCCTGCTCAGCGATGCCCTCGAGGCAGTGCGCCATCAGACCGGCCTGATGCGCAAGTGCTTGGACATGCCTGGCAAGCTCATGGACGCCCTCAAGTGCTGGTACGTCGCGTCACAAGCCCTCTCCCCTTCCGCATACTCTCCCGCCGCCGGGTCGCTATCGTGAGCTTCGCTCAGGCGGGCGGACGGCCCAGCCCCTCGCACTCGCACTGACGCGCTTCTGCCCATCCAGTTCCACCCTCGTCTCCGAGCTGCGAACATCCAGTCTCGGCCCCAAGCAGTACTACGAGCTCTACATGGCCGTCTTCGATGCCCTCCGTTACCTCTCCGTCCATCTCCGGGAAAACCACCCCGTGAACCACCTCGCCGATCTTTACGAGCTCGTCCAATACGCCGGCAACATCGTGCCTCGGCTCTACCTCATGATCACCGTTGGCACTGCCTACATGTCCATCGAAGGGGCACCGGTCAAGGAGCTGATGAAGGACATGATGGACATGAGCAGAGGCGTCCAACATCCCATAAGAGGTCTATTCCTGAGGTACTACTTATCTGGCCAGGCTAGGGACTACCTGCCATCAGGGGAAGGAGATGGCCCTGAAGGCAACCTACAAGACTCGATCAACTTCATCCTTACAAACTTTGTTGAGATGAACAAGTTGTGGGTGCGCTTGCAGCATCAAGGCCACTCCAGGGAGCGTGACTTGCGGACGCAGGAGCGCAAAGAGCTCCAGCTGCTCGTCGGCAGCAACATCGTGCGCCTGAGCCAACTGGTGGATCTAGAAGCCTACAAGAACGGGATCCTCGGTCCTCTCCTGGAGCAGGTCGTACAATGCCGTGACGTGCTCGCTCAGGAGTACCTGCTCGAAGTGATTACGCAGGTCTTCCCAGACGAGTACCACCTCCACACTCTCGACCAGTTCCTCGCAGCCGTCTCACGCCTGAACCCACACGTCAATGTCAAGGCCATCGTCATTGGTCTGATGGACAGGCTGTCGGACTATGCAGAACGAGAGGCACAGGACGAGACCACGGACGACAGGGCGAAAATCGAGCAGGAAGCCTTGGTGCAACTCTTGGAAAAGGCTCAGCTTGGATACGAGGAACCACAGCCTGTGCAGCAGCCCCCTGACAAGCCCGAGCAACCAGCAGCAGGCGAGAACGGCGACAGTCACGGGGACGAGGCTGCTTCAGCGACCGAGACTGTCGCTGGAGAATCAGAGCCTGCGGCCTCAGTAGCAGAGACCGACGCCACAGCTGTGAACGGAGAGGAGCCAGGATCACCGGTGAAGCATCGCGGCATCCCAGAAAATGTTGCACTCTACGACATCTTCTTCGGGCAGGTACAACACCTCGTTGAGGCCCAACGCCTGCCTATACAGGATACCATCGCGCTGCTGGTCTCGCTCACAAATCTTGCCCTCAACATCTACCCCGAACGACTAGACTACGTTGATCAGGTCCTGGACTACGCCAACGCAAAAGTACACGAGCACGCCAATAGCGCCGACCTCCACTCTCCTGTCGCCCAACAAAGCCTGCTCGCTCTACTCCAGGCACCGCTGAAACGATATGTCTCCATCTTCACCGCCTTATCTCTGCCTTTCTACGTGCCGCTCTTTCAATCCCAGACATATCCTACCAGGCGTGCGGTTGCTGGTGAAGTCGCGCGCACCCTCCTCAAGAATCATACCCCCAATATCCACGACCGCGCACCTGGAGAATGTGCTCGGGGTGCTTGCTGTCTTGATCAAAGAAGGCTCTCAGTCCCAGGGCTACCCAGGCGTTTCATCAGCGCGCGCCCGCGCCATGGAGACGGACGAGACTATGGAGGAGCAAGGCTGGCTGGCTCGGCTGGTACATCTGCTCCAGGGCGAGGACAATGACACCCAGTTCAAGTTGCTGCAAATGACGCGCAAGGCATACGCAGAAGGCAACGAGCGCATCCGCACCACAACACCGCCTCTCATCACCGCAGGCATGAAGCTGGCCCGGCGCTACAAGAAACGCGAACACTACGAAGACAACTGGTCCACCCAGTCGTCGGCGCTGTACAAGTTCATGCATTCCGCCCTCTCCCAACTTTATACCCGTGTCAACGGTGCTGGTGCCTCGGAGCTTGCCCTGCGCCTGTTTTGCGCTTGCGGGCAGACGGCCGACCAGACAGGTCATGAGGAGGTGGCGTATGAGTTCTTCGCGCAGGCTTTCACTGTCTATGAGGAGGCAGTTAGTGACTCCAAAGCACAGTTCCAGGCCGTGTGCGTGATCTCTAGTGCCTTGCACACCACGCGCAACTTCGGAAAGGAGAATTACGATACACTCATCACCAAGTGTGCTCAACACGCCAGCAAATTGTTGAGAAAGCCGGATCAGTGTCGTGCGGTGTATCTGGCAAGCCACCTTTGGTGGGCCACGCCGATCCCTGGAAATGGCGAGGAGGATGGAAAGGATGTAAGTTCTTCCCGCAGCGCCGATTGTAAAGACAAAGCGCTGACTTGGTTGTAGCTCTACCGTGACGGCAAGCGGGTTTTAGAGTGCCTGCAACGTGCACTCCGTGTCGCCGACTCGTGCATGGAGACGGCCACTTCCATCGAGCTCTTTGTTGAGATCCTCGACAGATATGTCTACTACTTTGACCAACATAATGAGTCGGTAAGTTGGCAACGCAACGCCGCCTCACTCGTACCTGGATGGTTTCGAGCGATGACATTTGTTGACTCAATCCACCAGGTTACCACCAAATATCTGAACGGGCTGATCGAGCTCATCCACTCGAACCTCGCAGGTAATCAACAAGATTCCGCGTCGATCGAGAACAGCAAGAAGCATTTCTTCCACACGCTCGAAATTATCAAGAGCAAGGAGTACGAGGGGGTGGTTCTGACTCCAAAATAAACGGATCGTCAGGAGGCGGCCTGAAAGCCGAAGGAGGGAGGAAATGAGAAGATTCAAATGTCTTTATCACAAGTACTAGCCTGCCCCCAAAGTTTCCCGCATGGCAGGATGATATCAGTAGCGAAAGCAGTTACGTTTAATGACCTGCTTGTAAATATACACAACTTAAATCGTCCCCAATGACGACCAGTGATTAGTTTGCCCTCTCAATGTGTGAAGCTGCTGGTGCGAAGGGCTACGAGGCATCGCCCACACGACAACGAAGTGCAGCGAGGCATTGAACCGTCCTGCTCCCAAGCACGTTAAGGTTCGCGTAGCTAGGCGAGCTCGCTCGCACGATGGCTCAGGAAGCAACCACGAAATGCCAGTGGGGATAATATTCAGGAAATAGTGGCCCTCGGTAAATACCGATCCGGAATGACGTGTGTAAAACCAACGAAATCAGAGAGCCACTGGGGGAACTGAGCCTCCCATATATAGAAGACAAACAAATGAACCCGCCTAGTAACGCCATGCCATGCCATGCCATGCCTGCCTGCCTGTCCGCCTGTTTACTGCCCTTGCTTTTCGACCGCGTAAATGAGCAAGCGGGTAAGATGGCCACTGTCACATCTCGACGACCAGGTATGTATATAACCCTGGCTCTTTTCTCCCCATATCGACTAAGACCAGTCCTTCAGCGAGGCGGCAGCATCCGTGATGATGCGGGCTGTCTTCTCAACGGTCAGGTTGGCCAGCGTCCAGTTGCCGCTCTCGACGACGTCGCGGATGGCGGGGAAGAAGGCCTCGTCGTAGCCGGACCAGAGTTGCGGGCCGAAGACAACGTGTCGGAATTGTGTCCGGTTGGGAATCTGTTTATTCAATAAGGGGTCAGTCCAGGAAAGCTCCGTTGGGTGTGGGCAATCGCGAAAGGCGGATGGTGTCAGTAAAACAACAAAGAGAAGGGCAACATACACCACCGTCGATGGCCAGATCCAGAAGGTCGGTTTCAAAATTGGCCATGTGGTCATTATATTCCGTCCTCTTCTGGCCCAGACCGATCGGCTCCCATCCGTTCGCCGCCAGGACACTGTTCTGCCAGACCTGCTCCCAGTTCTGGAAACTTCCAACAGCGTCGATAGTGTCTAGTACTGCCTTCTTGAGGACGTTCATGTCGAGTAGTCCCTTTGCGTCTTGGTTGGCAGCCTTCTTCTCCGCCCAGTCAGACAGTTCGTTAGTCCACTTGTACAGCGCGTTGGCGTACGCCGCCATGTCGAACGGAAGGACTGGCCTATCACACAGTTCCAGGATGACAAGCCCCATGAGCTCAGCCAGCATGCCGTGGTACACAAAGTCTGGGTCACCGACACGGTCCATCCAGTCGAAGTTGTCGTAGCTAGAGTGGTAGGGGTGGCTCGGCAGGCCATCGGACTCCTGGAAGTACAGGTCCAGAGACGAGGTCCCGGCAATATCTTGGAATGCGACATAATCACTCCCCGCTCCAAGACCTTCCAGCTCGCCACTGCGGCGGTCCCACAGCTCCCGGAGCGTGGTGTTGTAATTCGGGTCGTATATGCGGTCGATGACGCGGTATATGATCTTTTGGAAGACAGGGCTGCCGGAGGCATGGAATTCGTCGCCCCCAATGGGTGTATCGACGTTGATGTAAACGTATCCGTCTTTGCGCAAACCGTCGAGACTTTTCTCAACGAATTCGGTGGAGCCAATCAAGTTGTATTCCTCGGCGTCCCATGACATGAACTCGATTGTACGCAGTGGTCGCCAGCCGCGATCAAGGAGGTCGCCAAAAATGCGAGCTAACTCCATCATGACTGCTGTGCCGGAGCCAGGGTCCGTGGCGCCGTAGGACCAAGCGTCACGGTGGTTGCCGATTATGATGGACTTCTCGGGCTGCTCAATGCCCACGATGCGGCCGTAGACATTCCAGATTGGTTGGTCGATGCGCTCATCTTGCTCGTTCTTCAGGCGCACAACCGGTCCGGACAGGTTGCCTGTCCACCATTCGCCGATATCTGGGACTCCGCCCTTCCACTCATCTGGGGCCGGCTGACCGAACCCTTTGATATGTTGCAGCAGCACCTGAGCATCGCGCCACGCCAGAGGCAAGCTCGGGATGTTCACCAATCCCGAAGATTCCTCAGGCTTCAATCGCGGCAGGCCCTGCTTGCTCTCCCAACCAGGGGTCAAGACATCACCAACAACCCAGCTCATCAGGCTGACGCCGCCGCGCTGCACGCCGTCCGCAGGCATGAAGCGTCCGTCAGGGGCGACGTCGCCCCGCAGGAAGCCGTCATCTCGGGGGTCGCTGTAGATGATGCATCCGGCGAAGCCAGCCAGCTCCGCGGCCTTGATTTTGAGCGCACGATCACCTTGTGTCCCGTAGTATTTTACCAATGCAATCGCTCCCTTTGTCTGGATCCCGCTGTCGGACAGCTTCTTGAAGTCCTCCCTCGAGCCGTAGTTTGCGTAGATTAGTGGTCCCTGGACGGTTCCCGATTTCGAATGTCCGTGGAAGGTGTATGTCTGGTGGCCAGCAGTTTCGCCACCCGTGTCCCCTTCTTCCAGCTTTGCGGCCCATACAGGTTTGTTGTCGGCGTCGAGAATTTCTACTGCTCTTCCGTCCGCTGTCGGGTAGTTTAGGTATACGTAGTACTCGTCGACCGTCACATCCTCCAGCCCGTACTGGACGAACATGTTCTTGGTGTCCATTGCCAGCGCGAAGTCGCCTTCAGACCCGGCAACATGTGCGTACGAGGTGAAGTGCTTCAGGTTCTCCCGTATTTGCGTTCGGTCGACACTGCTCTGGACATGTATGCGGACGCTTTCGGGATCGAACATCTGGCCGCCGCCCAGGCGCCGGGTCATATTGGAGAAGAGATCGCTCATGAACAAGAGCCAGAGGAAGCCCATGACGACTAGGATGGCCAGTACACGTCCGACCAGGAGAAATGTCGCAGTTGAGTCCATGGCTGGAAAGCACCGCCGCCTCGGTGTTTCATTGTCTGTACTGCTACCATCGCTTGCCCTTTCGCCCAGCCGTATGGATGGTAATTTTGGTAATCGCCAGCGCCAAGACCACTTCCATTGGGGGAGGGATAAAGAGAAGGGTATCCGTTTTGACCATAATGATGAGCGGGTGCTTGCGCCATCGTCTATTTCCAACTCTTGCATCTCCCTGCGCACTAGATCATCCTCGACCCCAGCCTCTGACCCTGAGTCCTCATCATCAGTCTCGACTGTTGGTGGTCGGTAGCCACCCGGTCTTCGTTGCGAACGCGCTGAGCCGTTAGTGGCGCTCGACCTGCCGCGGGTGTTGGGAAGACCATCGGAGTCGTAGTCGCTATCATCATGTGCGTCGTACCGCGAAGCATCAGTGCGGTCGTAGTCGTTCTCGTCGAGGGCGGATCGGCTGTTGCCGCCGGTGGCTTCATCGTAGGTCGGGATAGGAGGGAGGGCATCGTAGCGATGATCATTTTTATTGGGGGCCATGGTTGGTAAGGGTCGTCATTAGGGAAGAGCGGGCTTGCGGTGAGTCGTTGTGTGGGTTCGTGAGAGCACCGTGGTTGAATCTATGGAGCGATTGAGGGCGACCGATCCGAACCGAGCCGGGTCGAGTCGAGTTGATGGCGGAGCCTAGGCGAAGAAAGGAGCGACGGTCTATAATAAGAGAACAGAATCTGCGATAATCACGACAAAGAGACGGCGCTCTTGGGTAGTGCTGATGTCGGCTTCATCGAGGTAAGTGTGGAGGAAGGATTGGCTTGGTCCTATGCGGCCATGATGGTTGTAAGAAGGCCTGTCGGTGTCAGGAGGGCGAGGCCAAGGAGACGAGACGAGACCTGTTGCGTTGCGGGCGATGATACGGTAATCCCGTACTCCGTAATCAGACGTATGCCACAGTCACTCCTGGACCACCGTACTGTGCCGACAGCCCGAAGCTGGGCCCCGCTGACTCAGCAGACCCGGCAGCGACAACTTCCACCAAAAGATCCACCCCCGCGCATGCCATAATGTTACAGTTAGTCGTACAGCCAGTGCCATGAAGTTGTCTCAAGCTTAGATGGGAGTGGGACGCTGTATATCAACGATTCTGGTGTCCTCGGTGTCTTCATTTCCTGAGAAGACAGCAGACCCTACCTCCATCTCCAGGAAAATGCGCGCTAGATGCCTCATTTGTTCTGCTCTTCGGACATCGATACGCTGCATAGTTAACCTGCACGTTCGAGAGCGTGGCGTCGACACTGTCGACGTAAGAAGTTCGAAGATCTTGAAGGACCGAGACAGCTTCAGCATTGGGACAGAACCCGGGCACGTTCCTCCTCCCACACGGCGTAGATGTCTGCGGTAGGATACATCAGCTTCGCTGCTTCAAGGCATAAAACGCCATGACAGCATGGCGGAGGACGACGTGGCGCAAAGCGTCGTCTGGGAGATCATCCAGTCGCTGTTGCTGGATCGTGGCCAATCCACGGCGTATGTGGTCGTTCATGTTGACGGGAAGCTGTCTGAGGCCTGGAATCTAATCTTCCAGATAGACACCATGGGTGCCCAGCGGTACTGGTTGAAACGAGGAAATTCAAATTGGTCCTTGAGCCCGTCGCCTGCGCCGATGAAGCTGATGATATCCTCGCCGTCTCGAAACCACAGTTCGCCTGGCCGGAGGTTCAGGGCGTCGGGTAGGCAAGCGCGAGCCCAGCGCCGGGATTGGTGGCAAGCTGAGGAGAGGGCTCGAATCTGATGGGTTTCTTTGACGGTTGAGGCTTCAGGTACGAGCAGGAGCATGTTTTTATCGTCATCGTCGTCGTCGACATCGAAAAGTCCCAAATGGAGGACGCGTGGACCGCTATGGGCGCTGACAGCCGCGGCCTGCCAGGTTTGGTCCTGGATTTCCACTGGGAAATCACCGAAGAGGGTGAAAGAAGTCATGGCGTATGTCTATTTTGGCAGACGGGCTGAGTATGTCGAGACTTAATATGTTGGTGTCGTAGAGGGACGACGAGTTTGACCAAAGGTTCGAGATTGAGATTCTGTTCATTCTCGATTTTACAGGCAAGTTGGGTGGGTCGCAAACGATGGCCAAATTGAATTTCCAGTCTTCAAACACCCTAGATTCCAGCTACCATTGCTGGAAGGCTCATAGTCACGAGGGACTGCGTTTGTTCCCTTTGCTTTTCCAGTGAATGGGACGGGACTTGTACCTTGACCCTGCACCTAGGTACGTACTTGAGATCTTGACAATTTACTACACGAGAACCTCGTCGCATGTTTCAAGACGCATATTCAGCAAACGCAATTGGGGGTTCTCTTGTAACAACATTCTGGTCCATGTCAGGGTGCGCCGGCTAAGTCGATATGCCCGATTCATCATCATGGTTTCATACTTTTTTCGTGGCCCGATTCAATCCACATTCATCGTGTTGTAATTTCTTTCTTGCCAAGCTTCCGTTATCAAGTACAGTAGTACGCCACTATCGTCCCCGTCTAATTTCTGCGGCTGGACTTCGTGTTTTCTTCAATTTACAAGATCCGGCGTAGTTTCGGTGAGTGGACATTTATGCCGTTTGCTTATGCTTTTACATTGCTCTGGAGAGCTTCATCGCGAATTGAAAACACTGGAGCAGCGGGACTATTACCATGAAGAGCGCTGCAGGTACAAACTTCATTGAAGAATATACTTGTCAGCAACCATTGCAACCATACTATTATAGGAATCATGGGCCCGTACCGCGGCCTTGCTTGAGCAATATCTAACCCAAAAGTTTCCGAAGCTTGACTATCATCATGCTTGGCCGTCCAACCCCGCCCCAATTCACAGTCTAGTCGAGGTGTGAGCTCATTTAAGAGAGCATGACAGTCCGGATGAGAGCACTTAATATCTACGTTAAGGTTAGTCTGTCTAGAAACAACAAGCTAGATAAGTTGCGATATCCGTCGTCAAGAATTGAAGTCCTGGTAGTCAAGCCGATGTCAAGTGCGGTCGTGCACACTGTCCCGTAGGAAAATAGTCATAGTGCAGAGATGGAGCTCAGAATTGGGAGACCGACGTGTGAATTGAGCTGCACATTTCCAATCCCACCACCCCAGCAACAACAAAACATCGCAGCAGTAGCAGTAGCAGCAGCCCCAACACCAACCACAACCACAACCACAGCAACAGCAGCAACAACAACAATCACAACAACTACACCACCACCAGCACCACCAGCACCACCATCATCATGGCGCAAACGCGCCACACTCTCCGCGCTGCCGTGCCTGCGGCGGGGTTCCTGTGGGAGCCTCGCTCCACCATCCTCCGCAAGGTCCGTCAAGACCGCGCTGTAAGTATCATGGCCGTCTTCCTAGCATACACTAGCTTCTTCGGCCCAATGCCGTCCCTTCGTGCATTAATCACCTTTCCTTTCGACATCGTCTTCACAGAGTGTTAGTGCGTGTTTGCTAACCGACCTTCGTTTCGACAGGTCATCGCCGCCCTGCGCGACCACGGAGGTCTGGCCAACCTCCAGCGGGGCTCGGCCGGCCACGCCCGCGCCGACATAGAGCAGGCCCTCGCGGGCATGTTTGACGCGGCCCGGCGCGCCGTCGACGCCGACACCGACCTCCTGCGCGGCCGCGACGCCTTCGAGTTCGTCAGCGACCACCTTTGGCACTCTGGTGTCGTGGCGTGGGCGCGTCCGGGAGCCCTCGGGGAGGAGCGCTTCATCGACCTCTTCTTCGAGGTCTACCGTCGACGCCTCGATTGGCACGCGAACCCCCGCGAGCCCTTCGACGTAAGTGACACTCCTGAGAATACTCCAAATATTTCATATTGCTGTGCCGTGGCATACCTTGTCGGCACCCGACACTTCCACATCACGTCCATCTCCCTACTGCTCGCAATCAACCGACCACTTCCGTCCTCCCCCTTCGCTTTTCACCCAGCCATATTTTCAGACTTCCTGTCCCGTATCCCCTTCCACTACCGCGAAATATAACCGACTGAGTAATCAGACTGACATTCTCGTCCTCTCTATGTCTAGACCAGCGAGCACGGCCCGCTCGCCCACAGCGTGGACGCCTTCCACCATGTAGCTAGTGACTACTGGGGAGAGGCGGACTTCGACATGTGGGCGATGGCCCAGGCGCCTGCCGAGGAGGGCTCCGGGGCGGATGGCCATGGCGATGATCCTGCGGCGGCGGCGCCCCATACTCTGGAGACGGGCGCCTCGCACGCTCCGGGTGAGCCACACCCACAAGCTACTATTTCGGGTGGCCAGGATCAGGACAGGGACGTCAATATGGGCGAAGCGGTGGACGCTGGAGCCGTTGAGGAGGCGCGCTCAGAATTTTCACGGCTAAATTTGTACGAGGACGTTGAGATGGAGTGGTAGGGGTGGGGAGGGGGGGGCCGGGTTCCTGCGTCTGGCCCCTTTTTCTCTTCTTTTTTTCTTTCAAAGAAAAGTCCTTTTTTAATGTTTGAATTTGTAAAAATGAGAAACAAATGGCATTGACACAAACACTCTTACATTGATTGTGGCTGACCTTAAACAGCTTCGAGTACTGTCCCGAGGTCAACAAGGGACAGACATCTTGCAACACCGATTGACGGTTTGGGACCACGGCTGTGTAAGCATATCCAGGGCACATGCAACTAAGTGATAATGCCTTCCAGATACATCAGTTGTGAGGTATGAGCATGACCCCGTTTGGGTGGTTTGCAGGCAGAAATACCTCAGAGAAGGGAGCGATCGCATGCTCTGGCAGAACGAAGTTTGAAGGCGTGGTTCAAGGATGTCGTTAATACATGAGCCTTGATTGGGCAGGTCTGCTGACTCAGCAGGGAAAGCTGTCAGTATGACCTGAGGCGCACCGTCTGGGATCATCATCCCACAGGAAGGTCCCTCATCAGAAGAGAGCCACTGATCTGGGCACAAGCCAAACTCAAGCTCTCAATCAAGGACCTTCCAAATACATTGTGCATCGTAGTAGAAGCTCCGGCATTGGTGTTGAGGATGGTCGCTCACATGTGCACGCGTGAGACGCTCGCACGGTGACGATTTATGGCACGACTGAGTACGTTCAATCTGCTGTGGATTATCTAAGGATCTGAGGAAGATCTATGGCAATCTGGAACAGCTCCAACCATGGGCTGCGAATGTCAGACGTCTTCTCCAGCTAATCGTCTATCACAGCTGAATCAAACCTGGGTGCGTCACAAGCTGTTCACCTTTAGATGTGGCGTGGAAGACCTAATCTTTTTGGACTACTCTCCAGAGACATCTCAAGGAGACCAGTTTGGGGAAGTGTTGATCGTGGCAGGCGTCTCGTGCAATTGAGCTTGTGTGAGGGGCAAGCCACGGGGATTGACGCAAGACCAGGTGGGCAGCCATCTGTGCCCCGCCCTGATAAACGGTTGAAAACACATATATCTCACCATTACAAGGCAGCTTGGTGTAGCGGTCAGGGGGGCAAGTTTGTTCTCAGACGAGAAAATTGGGGAGTGGCCATTACCCGATTCTCTCGTGTGCGATACCAGGCACAGTCCGACGTCATAGTGGTTGACCGACGGCTGTGTCCTGGCTGGCGGCCATAGCTTGGGCAACTTACGGGCGGATGAAGTGGTACTGCTGCTTCCCTAGTGTCATATACGTTCCAAGAGTGTCAACAGTGCCGCATGATCAAGATGTCTTGTACAGCTTCCAGCCAGTTGAACTGGTTGGCCCGCAGGCTGGACCTGCACTTAAGAAGCATCCTCTTTTTTTTTTTTGGGACTTTTCTCTCCCGTATGACTAATAGCATTTGGTAAATCCGTACATGATCAATTGAAGGCATCGCCTTCTTGTCACTCAGTTAATGTACCAAAGGTTTTCCATGCTGGCCCCACGACAGCCTGTCTGGGCCAAAACGAGGGTGAGATGATGATGCCGCTTCCCCTTTTCCAGCAGGGCCTAAGTTCGATTTTTACCCGAAGCAATCTTTTTTGGTTTTTCTTTTCCGTCCCTCAGCCTGAACCCAGTCCTGTCTGCTCAATCCCCAACGCATTCGCCTGAGTAGGACACCTCTCCTCTACGGGTCTTCCAGCAGCGCGACGCAGTTCTCTCTGGCAACAGTGATGGCTACGTCTCCAAGTGACTTTGTCTTGAAGCCTGCTTCGCAGTAACTGAAGTAGTACTGCATAAAATCCTGTCAGCCTCGGTCAAATCGACATGTGAAAGCTTTTGCTCACCTCCCATTGCCTTCTGAACAGCTCTATCTCCGCCACTGTCATTTCAGGTTGACTCCTTCGCAGCTCTGGCATAATTCTGAGATCGAAGTTTGCCAAGAAGCTTTCCCTCCAGCTCCTCAGCGCCCTCGGGTAATGCGCACCGATACTTTTGATCTCCTCGACGATGAGTTTACCCCGCGAGCCACGATTGATGGCTGCCACCAGCCCGCTGACAGTTGGAAGGTGACCGCCAGGAAAGATGTACTTCTTGATGAAGTCCTCACCTCGACGATACCGCTCGTATCTGGTCTCAGGGATCGTGATGCACTGGAAGTACCCAATGCCTCCCTCAGCCTTCAAATATCGATCCATACACTCGAAGAAGATACCCAAAAAGTCATGTCCGACGTGCTCAATCATCTCGATGCTGACGATCTTGTCAAACGAGCCCAAGCCGCCCAGCTCACGATAGTCAGCCTCCAACACCTCGACCCTGCCGCCCACGCCTGCGTCCCTGATGCGCTCCTCAGCAAGCCGCTTCTGCTCGTTGCTCGGCGTCACGGTCGTCACGCGACACCCAGTCGTGCGGGCAGCCACGATGGCGAAGCTTCCCCATCCCGTCCCGATCTCGAGCACATGGTCCGAAGCCTGCACCCGCGTCTGGCGCAGAGCATACTCGAGCTTCCTCAGCTGTGCTTCCTCGAGTGTCTCGACCTGGGAGCCGGGATGTGACTTTGGCAGCCATATTGGGGCGGAGTATGTCATGTCCGGGCTGAGAAACGAGGAAAACATCTCGTTGCTCTGTGAGTAGTGGACCTTGGCATTGCTTTGCGCATTTCTGATGTCATTGCTCCTGCCCAACATGACCTGGAACGGTGTTCCAAAGAGCCATGGCCACAGGCCAGCTGCTGCGGGCTTGTTAGTGGCCGAGCTGTTGCCGATGAAGAACTCAAAAACAGCCGTGAGGTCGTCCGAACTGATCTCGCGGATCAGGTAGCTCTCCGCAAACCCCACGTCTCCGAATAAGAGTACCCTAGCCCAGAAAACGTCGTTGTGGATCGTGATGCTGGGGGTCCGGTCAGCGGAGTGCATTTGCCCCAACGTGATTGTCTCCCCTTCTACGGTCTCAAGCCTCAGCGCTCCTGATTTTACGTCTGAGAAGCTATCCAGGACCAGACGACGAGGAATGGGTGTGGTACATGACAAGCGATTAAGAATTGATATGAGGTACGACATGGCCATCTTTGCAGGGAGCGCAAGTTTCTTGCAATTCAGCGGATGCCATTCTGACAATTCCTCACCGGGCTGCAGCTGCTGAAAAGCCGCGGCCACTTGAGGCTTTGTATCTCATCCACCACCCGGAGCTACCAGTATCGCCGCAGAAGTACCAGTGAAGAGTTCCAGATCGTCAGATCCGCGCTCTCATGACCAGGCCTTAAGCGGTGAGGGACGGGGAACAACCAGAACCTTCTACCGACTCCATGGCCCAAGCGAGCGGCCACCCCATCACAAGCTTCTGGTCCGGCCACCCATGCGCGTGGCATGCGAGCATCCGTCCGAACCGTATGTCTGGGCATTCCGGACGAGTGCACGAAGAAATTTGACCTGCGATGAGATTATCGATAGCGAGCAATACCGAGCGCGGAGGCCGTCATGGCTGACGAAAAAGGTGTCCGCAGGGATCAGCATCAGCAATGGCGCCACCTCCTTCGACCAGCAGTTGACCGGCATCCGACGTCTCGCATCTTACTTGTGAGGTGCCGACGTGCAGATGCATGAGAAAGTGTGACCACCAAGACGCCATCACTTCAAGTGATGATTTGTCACAGGCGGGACAAGTCAGAGCCTGGTCGACATGGACTGGAGTGACTCTATGTCTAGTGGGTGTGTTGGTTTGATGGTAGCATCTTTCTTAGATAGTGGCACGATTTTTGTGCCAGATTTCTCATTTTCCGCCTTTTCAGAAATATTTACTTGAGGTCCTCCTCTGAGCTGGGTATGGTGGAGAGGAGTGGACCTTGACAGATCTGACTCCCGATTCCAGTCAACCTTGTGGTATTCAGCTGACGTAGGGGTGGGAGGTGGAGAGAGTGGCCCTGCAGCAGACGCTACGACCAATACAGATACCGAAAAAAAAGGAAAAGAATTCAGCGAGAGTTTTTTCTTCATCACCTACACCGTTGTTGTGTTTCAGAAAAAAACCTGATTCTGGATAGAGTCTAATTGACAGGCTTCCATACGGAGGGCGTGCCGGTGACAAGGAGAGACAAGCACTCCGGGGAAACGCGGACAGATAACGTGCCTGACAGCGTGGCTGACCTGAACCGCCCTGTCTCGAATCCGCAAGGAAGAATGCAGCCAGCGGGTGTTCCGAGCCGTCGTGGGGACGCCGGGGAAGAAGCACCCCGAGGGCCTATGCGCCTCGCATTTCGGCCCGGAGAATCTGGTCCGACCTCTGGGATGTGATTATGCATCCATTCCCAGTTGCTAGCCCCCCTGCCGGCTGATTCAGTTGCTTTGTCCCAGCTCGCGATGCCTGTCTCGATTCACAGAAACCCAGACCCCATCCGCATTACAGAACGAGACTGCCTTGGCCTCCCTGAACGACGTGTGCTCGGCCGCCTCCCTCATCCCCATCAGAGACGGGAATTCCTGCAGAAGCCGCACAATCACATACGAAACCTCAGCCTGGGCCATCTGCTGGCCGAGACACGCGCGGGGTCCTGATCCGAACGGCATGAAGAAGTTCCTCCTGGTCTCGCTACCGCCGATTTGTTCTTCATCGGCACCAGTGTCAGTGCTTGTGCCACCCTCTCCTGCAGTGTCAGCCGTGGAATGGGTGGCCCTGGACCCGATCAGACTGGCCCATCGTTCAGGCCTGTACTCGGCCCAGTCTTGACCGTACCACCGTGGATCACGGTTCAGCGAGTACGTGGACCACGCGACGGTCGTCCCCGCTCTGACGGCGATGGGGCTTTGGCCGTCTTGGCCACCTCCTCGTGGGAGGGTGGTGTCGGCTTTGGCCCTGCGCGAGTGCATTGTGACCGGCGAGTAGAGACGGAGAGCTGCACGAGGCAAGGTCATTAGACTGGGCTGGATGCAAAGGTACGTGATAGGTCATGCGAGCCTGGACAAGAATGTTGTGTTCTGACAATTTCGGGGGCGGGGGCATGCACGCACCTTCCTTGACCACCAATCGCAAATACTTCATACTGTTGAGTTCCTGTCTCGTTGGGGGCTTCCCTTGTAGAGACGAGATCTCTTCTCGCAGCCGGGCCTGGACGTGATGGTGTCTCAGCAGGGCGTAGACCGTGTTTGCTAGGAGGCCTGAGGTGGTGTCCCAACTGGCGAAAAAGATGTTCTGCAGCTCGCCCTGAATCTGCTCGTCGGGGATGTTTCGGGCTTTCATCATCCTGAACACGCTCCAGGCCGATGTTCGAGCCGGGGAGCCCTCCGCGTCTGCCATGATGTCTGCCAACTTTCTTTCAAAGAAGGCTTTCATTCCGACCACCATCTCGTTTAGCCGGCCGCTGGAAAATAGCAACTTGACCCTCGCTGGCGCACCAAGGGCTATGAAGCTGGCTGAAGGGCCGTCAAAGGTTCTAACAAGGGCCAGAAAGTCGACTCCGTCCTCTCCCGCTGGACGCCTTGGGGATTCCAAGCAGCCCGTGGATTTCCCAAACAGGAAATCCGTAACAACATCCAGCATGAGCATGTCAGCCAGCCTATGAAATTCGAAAACCCCCTCACACTCGCTCAAGGCCACCATATGTGCTATGAGTCTTCTGACGTGGGGTTCCATAAGCGTAGGTTCATCTACCGAATTGGTGGCGAACATGGGTCTCAACATCATCCTGGAGAGTTTCCAAGCTTCTCCTTCGTTCAAGAGTATGCCGTTTCCGATATGCTTGGCAGCCTCGGAAGCCCATTCGGACTTTTCGAAGTTGTGTGATTCGCGGCTGGTGACGATGGTGTGAATATTTTGGGGCTCGATTGTGTAGATGTGGTTGTTGCCTAGGATGTTGGCAGAAAATGTTGAACCATAGAGAACATGCCGGCAGCGTATTCCTTCTGAAAATCGGCCACTGTGGAAGTCCATCCATAGCTGCCATACGAGGTCAAGACCGAGGGGCCAAGTGTGCGGATAATGCCGAAGACTGCCAATCGAGACAGCTTCCCTGAGAACAAGGGGACGGAGGAGCCTCATGAGCGCCCAGGCTCCGACACAAACAACGATGATGAGAAAGCTTGGCCAGGAATTCATTGTGACAATTGTATGAAGATCTCGGTGGCGAATTCTACCAAGACATAGAGCAGTCGATGAATAGAGGCATGGGAAAGCCGTTAACATCTGGAAATTTATCTACTCAATTTATATTCACAACGTTCAAGACAGCAGGCTATGGTGACAGTCGTCGACCCCACCCATACGCTATCATCACATCCGTTCTGACATGGACTTTATTTGGGATCGGACCGTGCAGCTACAATTCACTTGCCAACTTTTAGTGTTTCCTATTCTCGGCCCGCCCGGAGTGTGTGGAATGTTCGGGCATCGGGATCTGACTCGGCTTCATGGAGAGACTGCTGTCCCTGCGGAGACTGGTTCTAGACATGGTCATGCCGGTATGATTACAGACTCATCTGCATGCAGGGTCTATTTTGTGGCTTCTAAATCAGTGGTCCAAAAAGAAATCCAAGACATGGCACGCATCAGTCTCCGAAGCTACGGAAGTAGATTGCGACGGCGCCGAAAAGAACCTGTATTGACACCACTGCTACAGAACACAATCTCGGTCAATTGGAGATTCTGATTCGACAAGCAACATGGTGCCGTCTGTGTGCCTACCTATACTGTGCTTCTTTTGTAGGGAGCAAAGTAGATCAGTCCAATCAGGGATCCAGCCAGACCCTCTTTGTTAGGTAGGGTAGGCGTACATGCAAAGGGTTGGTCTCCATGCTGTGCCACATGACAGAACGACGTGCATACAATTGGTCGTTCGGAGTATCTCACTCGCCATTGATTTTTCAGATTACGAGGCAGTGCCTAGTGTGGCGTGGCATGGCGTTTTCCAAAGCAGAAAGTTGGAAAAGTACACACCGTGTCGCGTGACACGGCATATTTTGTGGCAGTACATGGAGTCTTATCGGGCGGTCCGGCTGTCGTTCTATTGGTTCTGGAACTTGTTGACAGAATCAAGACTAAAGACTTCCTGCATTACCACATGCGTCATATCTTGGGTTTCCATATGAGGTTTCAAGTGAATCGGCCTTAGTCACTAGAGGGCGCAGCAGAGACCTAGACGGCCAAGCCTTTCAGAAACCTCAAAGGAATGCCCATTGACAAGATATATTGTAAATGGGACAGAGTTTGGTGGGTTCTTAGAACACCATGTTTGACCGTGGATAACTTCATTCGCCCATAGCAGTTGTCCTTGATTATTCCCGAATTTAGACACTCCATGATTGAGCGGATTCCAATACTCGACACCAAATTAAAATATTTGAATTCTGCAAATATTTTGACATATGTAAAACTCCTTCTGGGCTCTCCAAAATGTTAAATATGCAATGGTGCAGGCGGACGCCATCAATATCCACTGGCCACCACCATCATAGCCTTGCTGTGAGATGCAATTCTGAGATAATCTGCATCTAGCGCCACAAAGGGAAAAAGCCCATAGATAGCAATATGCAAAAGCTGCATGGCAGAGGTCGGTGCGAAACTCGTGACACAGTATCAGATGATCAGCCTGGCAGAGCGGCATGTTCCGTCAGTGGCTTGTCCCCAGGAACCGGATGTGGCGCACTTAGGAGGTTTCAAATCTAAAGACGCCATGCTTTAGAGAACGGGCTGTCGAACGTATTCGATGGAGCAGCGTGCTCGAGGTTGCCTTTGTACACATCGAAAATAAAGACGTTGAATGACCAATTCTTTCGATGAAGAGTCCATTTGCCATCTGCAAGTCGGAAGTCATCGAGAGTTGGCTAATTCATACCATCAAAGTGTTCATGATGCGTATAACAAGCTAGTCACAGGGAAGATGGTCCATGTACCCTAGTATAGATCTGTTGGTGCCAGGATTTTATGCGATTTTGTGCCACTCACACCACTGCGCGATTGACACATGCTCTTGGTTGTGTGTAGCAGGAGCAGAAACCTAGGTTTCTGAGACAAATGGCTTGACAAAAGGTAACGATTCTAAATGTGTGCTGCTCGTGTTATCAGAGGAGGCTGCTGGATTGATGACCTCCTTTTTTCAACAGTATGTATTCGAATGTGCTATGGCATGCACTGCAATCAAAAAAGCGAAAGACTGACTACCAGTTCCTTGTAGTGGACATATGAGAATAATCCACTATTTCTATCGAGAGTATATGAGAAGGTCACCGAAAGCTTGACCAAGAGACGAGGCATTACATACGACCAATATGGCATCGATGGCTGCAGCTATAGGTATATCGTAATGAGATGCCTGCCCTCGCATTTGGCACGCGTGTGTAGGACTATAAGCTGCCTGTACTTAGGCAGGTCCATGTAGTAATATCAATGGCCCAGCAATAGTTTTGTTTGTACAAGTCTACCTCCACGGATGATGTCCCAGTGACTAGCTAAAGTACTCCCTTATGGATCGCCATCAAATTGTGAGAATCTCGCGTGTTCCATCTTCAAAGATCTTAAGTGTCGCCTTGACATCAGCGTCGTGTGTGTCTTTGAAGAAGCACCTCGTACCCCAAATACAAGGCTTGCCATCGTACACGTTCTTGCAATGGTGGCCGCTCAGGCAATATGGGCTCTCACACCATTGCTGATCAGAGCACACAATACCACGGCTCTTGTGCCACAGCGCTAGTCGTTCCGACGGCGAGAGCTTTGCTTCATGCTGGTACTCGCAGTTTTCGTTCTTGTCGCAGCTGCCGGTCAAGTGGTAGTGGTTACAGAAGTTGCAACCCTGGGCCCTGGCCTTGTTCTCGAGGGACCTGATTGCAACCGGGTCCGCAGCGGGGAGGCGCTCGTCAACTCTCATGTTGGCAGCGTTGAATAGTGCGTACTTGAGTTTCGGCGGAGGCTTTTGCTTGCTGTAGATGTCGATAACCGGACCATTACTGAGCTTCGCTGTCACAGCCCAGGTGGATCCACCACCGTTGGTGCTTCCATTGGCACTTCCGTTACCGTTCGAAACGGAAAGAGACGAGCCGTTGGAGTCTTCCTCTGATGTAGCATATTGGCCAGGACCGGGAGTCAAGCCTGGGGCAGGCGGGAACGGCTGAATCCCGATATCGAGACCGACTGGCGACACTGGCGACATTGGATATCGGACGCTGATGTTATCCATAGGTTCGGATCGAAATACGCTGGGGAAAGCGACGATAGTGAAGCCGAGGCTGACAAATCCAGGTCCTGCCGGCTCTGTGGTGACCAGTGTGAGCTTCTCCCTCTTGACGGGATCGTGCTTATACTCTTCCAGCAGATTTAGGTATCCATTATCGCGACAGGGGCCGAAGAAGACATGGCGGCACGAGGTGGCATGGAGCATCTGCTTCAGCATGGCCTGGCACTTGTGGTCGGCCTTGTCCTTTCCGTAGCCAACATCGACAAAGGAGAAGAGGCTATTGGCGCGACCGAAACCCGAGGCGAACTTCTGGAGATCGGTCCACGTATTAAGGATGCGGCGGGCGGCAAGTGCCTTGCCAAGACCGTCCATATTGGCATAGAAGAAAACCAAGATATTCCAGTTATCGGTGCTGGTATCAGGGTAGGTCTCCTGGAGCTGGAGCTTGATCTGAGTCTTCAGCTCCTGGGCGGCTTGGCCACCGCCGTTATCGCCAGCTCTAAAGTAGTCGTCTCGGAATTTTGCACCGTCGCCATCGATGATCATAACAACAAAAGGGTGGGACTCCTGGCAACTGTTAGTTGAAAGAGTTACCCAATGGCAAGCTGATATGCAGGGGACCCCAAGAGCCGACAGGGCTGGCTAGGGAGTAACAAGACAGAAGGTGTGATGCCAAAAGAGGAGACATGACTGGAAGTTGTTGACTGGCGAGAAGTGAATGTGATGAGACGGAGGGCAGGGGGGAGAAAGAGGGAAAACGGGGCTCACATTAGCCAGCTTGGACTGGTGCAACTGCCTGCGGGCGTCTCTGGTCTCCCTCTGCCAGATCTCACGATTCTCCTTCTCATTTTCCAGTTGATTCATGGCATTGTGATATCTGATCTGCAAATCCTCGTAGTTGCTGAGGAGCTGAGTGATGAGGACATCCCGGTCGTTATCAGACTTCCGGAACTGGGCATAGCAGGCCTTGAAAGCCTCAGGGTCGGCGAGGCCTTCCATGTTGAAGGAAGCGCGATGGCTGTGATGGGATGAATTATGGGATTGCAGGCCGGAGCAGATGGCCGCTGGTGGGAAGGAGGAATGGGGGAGAAGGAAGAGCGAGAGTGAGGTTGACCTTGGAGGCAGCGTGCTTGTTGATGTCGTCGTTTGTTCGGGGAGGCAGGTACAAGCCTGCGCTTGGGCACCTGAGTCCTGGGTAGGTAAGAGATAGGTGGGTAGCAGACACTGCAGGTATGTAGTCTATCTGTGTCGGTTGGAGGAGCTGCAAGCAGGGATGCCTGGGCACGAAGGCCAATGGGCAGGCAGATGGGGCCTGGCTGTGAAGTGAAGAAGGAAAGCGTGTGCATGCAAGGCGTGGCTGCCGTTTTGGACAACGCAGAGTTGCTGTCCCTGTTTGCAGCCCACCCTGACAGTGTGTTTTCCTTTTGAAGGCGACTGCGAGAAGAACCTTGGAGGGTCTCTGGTGGCAAACGCCGCTCTTTTGGAAGCTTGCGGGCTTGTCAACCCCCTTGTTGGATTTTGTCGCCTGCAGCTATCGGGCCTCAACCTCCAGAGCAGAATGACCTCTCTTGACTTGGTTTCAATGGGTTCAACTTGGAAGTGGGTTGAATGCGCACAGTCTGCTCCAGATATCGATTTAGAACTCAAGAGGTGGTTTTTCAAATCTGAGAGATGAATTTTCTTGAATGGTCTTTTGACAAGGATGCAGACAGTGCAAGCAGCGTGGCCTTTCTACTGTGGCACATGGACCAGAAGCTGGATGATGAAAGGGCAGAGGCAAAAAGAGCACCTGCTGGCTGGATACTTGTCTCGTGTGTGTAACAAGCCCAGGGCTAGTTTAGACGAAGGCGTTGGACGAGCTGCCACGCCGAGATGCTGTCGTCGCGGGCGGCTGCAGTAGGGCAGGACATATGCTTTCAGTTTCTCTGACCGACTAGCTGGGCCCAATTGGCAGTCGGTTTAGCAAGGGTTCGCCAACAGGCACGCCCAGGATCTTGACTATCGGGTTTTCAGATGTATTGGGGGAGTCGGTCTTCAAGATCTATCCCAAGCCAAGCCTAGTACCTAGGCCTCCCCACATCTGATCGAGAACTGTTCGCTCGTCGGGCAAGGTTGGCTACTAGGCAAGCCAGCATTTATTCGGGCCAGTATCTAGACTAAAGCTATTCTGAACAGTATCCGCAGATCTTGGCAGCTTTCTAGTCTACTTGTAACTGAGACCGCGTCTTTGCGATTGTCCGGCCGGACTGACTCAGGCCGAATGTCACCAATGTTAACGGCCTCGCAGGAGACGAGCCATCACTTCCGGAGCGGTCCGCCTAGACACACAGACGCTGTAGCAGTTGACTTGGGACTTGGTCTGAATTTCATGTCGGTGAGATGACTCTTGTCGGCTTCATGCAGCACCTGCCTCTGCAATTGGTCATGGCCTTGTAGCTGGCCATCGTCGTCCAAACGAAGAGCGACCGACCATGGGCACTTCGACTGGTTTGTCCCAGAGCCAGGCTCGTAGGAGGCCCAAGAACCCACGGATCAGATGTGCAACGGACTTGCCTGAGGGACTTCTTGAAATATGGGCAGTTGTTGTCATTTCCAAAGCCTGTGGGCAGGGGTTCTGAGGGGAGCCGGAGGAGGGCGGCTGTCGATTCACATCAGCCTCGCGTTGGGGCTGAATTCCATCTCACTCCAAGCGGCTTGGACAGACTAGACCTCGTAGTACATTTGTCACTCAGCTAACGTGATTTGCTGCCAAGCTTTGGAGGGGAGCATTAAGCACATGGTGGAGAATAGGAGACTCTTATCAACCTCCCTGCCTCGAGCAATGCGTGGAGGAGGGAGTGACCGAGTCGATCTGAGGGTTAGGGGACGGACGGCTGTTTTTGTGGAGACCGCCGGGGCTGGACTGGCCTCTGCACCCTCGCGCCTTTCCCCGCAACATTGGGACAGGGGACTCCCGTGGAGCCGCGGAGGGGAATGGCAGGCGATGGGAGAATGGCAGAGACGGATTGCCGAGGCACACCGGCTCAAGGACGGACCTTGGCCACGACACGACACGAACCGACACCACAACCGACCTGCGTCTTGCAATGCAGTCCACGACTAATCATCATCCACCCCTTCATCAACTCTTCTCGTCTCGCCCGCCACCCAGTTGATCCATCCTGATCTCTTCTGTCCCGTCACAAACAACAGACTTGCAGACCACGCACACAGACATCAACCATGGCTGTAGAACGACTCGGCTCCATCCTCAAGCACCTGACTCCCGGCAGCTCCCTTGCCTCGATGTGAGTCCCTCCTGCTGAATGGACCGGCCTGCGCATGCGTGAAGACCGAGCAGACGCTGACCTGGTTAATTACCCTGACAGCACCTCCAAGAATGCCGACGACATCGTCATCACCTTGGCCATCCGAACGCCGCTGGCCAAGGCGAAGAAGGGTGGCTTCAAGGACACCAGTCTCGAGTACATGGTCTACGCCCTGCTGAAGGAGGTCAAGGAGCGATCAGCCATAGATCCCGCACTGATCGAAGACATTTGCCTTGGTAACGTATGCGAGCCCCATCCTGGCCACAAGTGCCGCCCCAACAATGCTTCTTCTGGGCCGCCACTAAACGATCGTCGCCCTTCAGGTCTCGGACGCAAAAGCCGCCTACAAACTCCGCGCCGCCTCCCTCGCCGCCGGCATTCCCAATGTCTCCGGTGCCTCTTCCGTCAACCGCTTCTGCTCTTCTGGGCTCAAGGCTACCGCCGATATCGCCAATGCCATCTCTGCTGGCAACATTGAAATCGGCATCGCAATTGGTGCCGAGTCCATGACTATCGGCGGCGATGCACTCGACAAGCCCTTTGACGAGGCCGTCACCTCGGCGAGCCAGGAGGCAGCTGACACGATGCAACCCATGGGCTGGACGAGCGAGAACGTCAGTCGGGATTTCGGTATCACCAGGGAAGAGATGGATAGATACGCCGCCGAGAGTTTCCAACGCGCCGAGAAGGCCCAAAAGGAAGGTCTCTTCGACGACGAGATCGTGCCCATCAAGACCAAGCTCAAGGGACCTGACGGAGAGGTTAAGGAGGTCGTCCTGACCAGGGATGAGGGTATCAGACCCGGCACCACTGCCGAGACCCTGGGCAAGATTAGGGTTGCCTTCCCTCAATGGGGACCTACCACCACGGGTGGCAATGCCAGCCAGGTCACTGACGGAGGTAAGCCAATATGACACATGCCCCTCTGTATGGGATTCGTATGGCTTGGTCCACGTTCACTAACCACCAATCTCTTTCCCAGCCGCCGCCGTGCTCCTGATGAAGCGCTCCACAGCCATCAAGCTGGGCCAGCCCATCCTTGCCAAGTACGTTGGCTCGACCGTTGCTGGCCTGGCCCCCCGTATCATGGGCATCGGCCCCAGCATTGCTATCCCCAAGCTCCTGACCAAGTACAATCTGTCCCTGAGCGACTGCGACGTCATCGAGGTCAATGAGGCCTTTGCCTCCATGGCCGTCTACTGCCGTGACAAGCTCGGTCTGGACTGGGCTAAGATGAACCCTAAGGGCGGCGCGATTGCTTTGGGACATCCCCTCGGCGCTACTGGTACGAGGCAGATTGTCACAGGTCTTAGTGAGTGCCGCAGGACGGGCAAGAAGATCCTCTTGACGAGCATGTGTATTGGCACGGGAATGGGGATGGCAGGACTGTTTGTGAATGAGCAGTGAGATACGATTGACGAAGTATCGAAAATGTCATCTTTATCTTCTATATTTAATGCAACTGCTTGAACCATTTCTCGAGTATGGCTACATGCTCACCAAGTCCCCCTTCCTCACTCACCCTAATCTGGACGGGGCCAAATCCTGCTGCAGCGCAAAAGAATCCCAAACATTCTGTGTCAGACACTATGTAGTTGGGTGGCTTACTACATACATATCAAGCCTTCTTCATCGAGAACTTTTACTGGAAGAGCATTGAAGACTTGAACACTTCGCAGCCAGTTAGCAGGGGAGACTCTAAAAAAGACGGTTTATATGCGGCTTATGCGCCGTCATTTAGTCACCTCTAAGCCACAAACTAATAATTAACACGAGGACTTTATTTTGCTAGCTATTTTAGTATGAATTAGGAGGCCGAACCTTAGCTGAATGTTTGTTTACATAAAGGGGCAAAGTTCCCCTCCTTTAAATAGCTAATATATGAATTATCGTCCTGAATACTTACAGAGGCTGGTTTAATTGGGATTAGGTAAAGACACTGCAATTGCAGGGAAGTGTTTGGGAGTTTTGTGAGCTGCACAAGACTTCGATGCAATTGAGATGTATTTTTAGCCACCAATTGAGAGGTGATTTCTGAATACAAAGCCCAAATCTTGATGCTCAGGGGGCCACCATCTTGCGTATCTTTGTGTGTATACAGAACGTGGTGGTATAGGTGGTTGGATGTATTATTGGCAGCAACGAATTCAATAGATGCTAAATTTCGGTTTCTCTTCAATTCGTGCTAGAAACCCCTTAATAGACTTCGAAATTTCTAATTTTTTTTTCTTCCCTTTTTTTTGGAAACAACAACCAGGAGCAACGAGGTGGACGTCACGTCGGATCAAAGCAAGGTAATTGTTTTTTTTTCATCAGCATTTGCATTCATCAAGTCGTCTCTAAATAATATATAAGGATCGTTACACACAGCCTCCAGGGCCACTGCAGGTCGGAGGAATCTCTCATCATCAGCCCTTTGTTTTCCCAGCCTCTGCCCCAGGAGCTCGGCCGCAAGCCAAAATATTTACAAGTCCGATATGCTCCTGACCACCAATTAAACTCACCCCACACCCACGAGGAGTTTGCTAATGATTTAGGCCTGGAAGGCACGGGCCTTCTTCATCTTCTTGCGGTACTCCAGAGCCCTCTTGCGGGCAGCGGGGGTCTGAGTGAATGCGACGGCACCGCCGAAGGGGCCAGCGGGCGTGTTGTTGCGCAGGCGCATGACGCAGACGTTGGTGGCGGAGCCGACGGTGGCGTCGCAGGTGGTACCGGCGGGCATCTGCACCTTGACGGGGAAGTCGGAGGTGGTGGTGGCCGAGATACCGGCGACGAGGCCGGGCACGTCCTGGGTGACCTGGGCCTCCTGGAAGGCGGCCATGTCGGTGCCGCCCGAGGTGCCGTCAACCATAGCCTCGAGGGGACCGGCGCCGTCCTGGTTGATCTGGCGGAAGGTCACGTCGACGGTGCCGTCCTCGTTGGCGGTGGGCATGCCCTGGCTGGATCCGGCGCCGGCGAGGGCCTTGACGTTGGCCTCTGGGGGGCCGGTGCTCTTGGTGCCCTTGGCGTTGGCACCGCCGCCGCCGCCGCCGAGGAGGCCAGCGAGGAGCTGGCGGACCCTGTTGTTGCCCTTGGCGGCGGCCGGGGCGTTGCTCAGGTCATCCTCCTGGCCGACACCCGAGTTGGCACCGTTGGTCGGGGCCTGGGCGACGTCCATATCTCCCATGAAGACCTTGATCATCATGGCCGGGTCGACGGGGCCGTTGCCCTGGGTCTTACCCAAGGGACCGACGGCGCCCGAGCTGATCTCCCGGTCGCGGATGATGGCGGTGTCGGCTTGCGAGCCGCAGCCGTTGGAGGAGCAGTCACGGGGTGTGCCATCAGCGACTAATTTTCCCACCGACGTTAGCCACTATCCTCATGTATCGATACAGGGATCATGAGAGCAACGACTGAAAAACTTACCAGTCAGGCCGGGCATCTCAACACCGTTGGCACCGGTGACCTTGGTCACGACACCGTGGGCCGAGACGGAGGCGGCCAGGCAGGCTACAGCAACTGAGGTGGAGGAACGCATCTTGGATGTTTGGAGGGAGGTAGTAGTGACTGTGTCAAACAGGTCAAGGTTTGTTGTTGTTCAAGTTGGATTAATAAGTCGAAGTGCCTCCCGGGCTACGAATTGTCGAATGAAAGTATTGAAAGACGGGCTTGATGATCCGGGCTCGAAGAGGAGGATTAGGATACTGGTGATGAAGCTGATGATGATGAGAGACTATTTCCGACTGGTGGTTGGGAGGAATCTGTCGGATTGTTATATACAACTCTGGGAATCCAAGACATCACAGTCTGGTCGTCCTTTTTCTCCTTCGGACGCATCTCATCATCCCTTGTCGCGGCGAGGCTTGACTCGGAAGTTCGTGTTTCCTCCATCTCCAGAAACCTCATCTGAACAAGTGCGAACAGTGAGCCGTTTCAGCAGCTCTGCGATGTGTGTTTTGCCCGGCGACGGCGGCGTCTGCGATGTCCTGCGCTACGTGCGTCGAGGGCTCTCAGCCTCACTGGAGAGCCAAGAGCCTCCTGCCGGAGCGAATCGCAAGCCAGCAAACAATTTGAGAGGCTCCTGTGGCTGCAGATCACGGCCCGTGTCGACCAGGAACAAGGAGGTATCAGCCGCCCCCCGTCAGTGCCGTCAACCATGTGGTGACTCTGGTGATGTTCCCGGGACGGCCCAGGGGCCAGGGGCTCCATGCGCGGTGCCGAGAGACTTGGCAGGTCGCGGGTTGGCCCTTGGCGTTGCACCAAATTGTGGGCTCGGTCGCCCTGCGCCTATAAAGACACGCGACGCCGCCCAGTGAAGCACTTCCAAGACTTTCCAAGAAGTCCCAAGACTCTTGGCCGCGCTGCACAGCAACAAAGCAAGCTTCATCTCGGCACTCGGAAATCCACACACAGCCCACAGCCCCGTCACCGGTTGCAAATCCGGAGCTGCACGCGAGCCAGCACCGCTGCCCTGGCCCTCCATCCCGAGTGATTGGCGCTGGGATTCGGTCAGTGGTCTTTGGAATAATCGCCGGTATCAAGGGGCCGCAGGGTGCCCACAGCCTGCGATTTGTTTAGCGGCCAGGTCGTATCCAGAGAAGCGATTGGCGAAATCCTGTTGCGTAGATCACGGAACCAAACGTTTGGGAGATCTTTGTGGATCGACTTATGATTGCCATGATTGCCATGAACGACCTCCATGATCTCCCGCCCAGCAAACGACCCTTCCTAATCCGTGCCTCCCTTGCGGGCTGCCTTATGCTTCCTCATGGTCACGTGGATACCGCGAATGTCATATCTGGGTCCATCGTCGAGAACTACTCAGCAGACTGTCTCCAAGCGCCAGGTCATGCCGGAGAACCAGTGCTGCCACTGTCGGACGGGAGCCATCTTAGATCCAGCGCCAGATTTGCGGGTGCGCCTGACTACCACCTCAGCGTAAAGAATCCTCCTCTTCGGACGAAGTCTAAGTATATTCGGAAGGCCCCAGCTCCGCATGAACTTCGAACAAATATCAGATCAGAGGATGTCCAGATGGCGTCTGCACGCACAACTTGAGACCAACTGCTTCAGCGGGCCCGAGGAACTCTATCCCAGCCGACCCGTTGTCAGGCTAGGCGCACTGGAGGAGGGCGGTGAGCGCATGTGAGAGCCGGCCCTGGAGGGAAAGGGGAAAGTTTCAAAAACTCCAATTCTGAGGGTCGAAAGTTTCAAGAGGTGAGGACATTTCGAATTCGTATTGTTCTTTTCGCGGCCCAAGCTCGTTTGGGAAGCCCCTGTGCACAATGTGGCTTCCCATGACGCTGTGGCGATGGATCAATTCTGGGGCTGTTGCAAACATTGTTGCACTGCGGCACAAAGGGACACGAACCGCCGTGCTCACCCTATTACGGGCACTTATGCAGATCTCTCTCGGCTCGACTGCGGATTTGCACAGGGAACAAACGTGTGCATGAATCCTCTGATGGTTCCTTGGACGGAACGATGACCAGACACCAAGGCCTGAGCAATACTGCAATGGTTTCGAGACATGACTGACCTCAGCCACCCACCAATGCCAGCCCGCGATCGATGAAACCGCATTTCTGTGCAACAGGAACCCCGGGTCGCCGTGGCCGTGGAGGTGTTTGATACTGTCTCCTGAGCTTCCATGTTGTCGGATCACGAACTACTAGTATCATGCCTACCCGTCGAACTGCAACCGTGATGGCATCCAGGGCACCGCTCGCTTGGGCGGCTTGAGAACCATCGCATGGTCTGAATTTAATCTTGGGGGCCCTGAGAACCACTTCGTGCCAGGAACAGCTGTACCCGGTTCCGGCAAGCCGAATGAACGCCCGCATCTGAGAGTCATGGTCCGAGGCATTGTCCTGGATAGTTTCTACGTTTTCACATTTGTCAACCTCGTCTTGCACTTGCGGTTCAGACTGCGAGGGCTTCGCGGCCGACCTCAGGCCATGCAATCCAGTCTCAGTACGGTCACCGGGCCCTCGAGTCTTGCTCTCCAACTCAATCCAACTGAAGACCTTCAATTTCAACCAGAGAAATGGTTGCCCGCGACAACTTTGTCGAAAGAAAGGATTGCCCCCCCCCCTTGCCCCCTGAAAGAAGCCACTAGTTAGGTCTTCGCTAGAACACGATGGAATTCTTAGAAGAATGGATTAGGGGAAGACAAGACTTTTGAAACCTGACCTGTTGCTACAAGAACTTCCAAAGCACTTAGATGCGGCAAGGTCACTGGGGCAATCTTGGCCGCCCCTTTTCGTGTTGTATTCTCGGCATGCCCCCTCCTACATATTTTTCCTCCTGGGAATCGCTCTGGTACGAGACCAAGGGCAAACGGCTTCGGTGCCGTAATGCCTTATGTTGAGCTACCAGATTGAACCATCCTACTTCTTGAAAGAGAACGAAGCCAGTTCCTCGGACCGACCACCTGTGGACGCTGAGGGGTCATTGTATTGCCCTCAGCCGCCATTTACAGCAGCCAGAAGAAATATCACCACGTCCACTTCAAAGACTATCAAGAGAATCGAGCTTACAGCTAAAGACACCCCCCTCCTTCTCTCAGGTGGAGGAGGGTCTGACCTTGGCGCATCGACGCTGCTTCTACCGGTCAGCCTTTTGGTGTCTCATCTGGGCCTCTCGGTGAAGTTTCGGGTAATAAAAATGCTAATATTCGCAGAAATCAATGTAACTTCCCGAATTGAAAGGAACGATAGCACGACTCGGAACACGTACATATCCCTCTTTCTGCTCGAGACGGCAAGCTGATCGACATCATCGTAAGCTTGTCACCGTATACAGCCCGACGCGTCTTTCCTGAGACAAAATCAAGCCGAGGATCCCAACGTCTCGTTTTCACACAAGAAAAGTTATTTTTGGGGTCGTGTCCGAATTGTGTAGAGCCTGGTGCTTGGGCCGGAGGCTATACGGGCGAGACCGCCTTCATTCGGGAACACACGGGGTCTCTGCTTTGTGGCTGCCGGAGACTTTCACGGTCCGTACTACTGTCCCGACTGTCTGGACCTCATGTTTCTTTGTCTCTACAAAAGAAAAGTGCGGTACAGCAAGAGGCATGAAAGCAAAGACTGGGCTCTAGCCTAAACCTAGGGCAGCCCACTTCATCATATCTTTCGGTTCATAAATGAGACTTGTCTGCTCAAATCGCGATTTATTCATCCTTTGCCATCACTTGCATTTTCAACCATAACGACGCATTCGAAACATACTAGAAAACTGTGCTAAACTATCTCTGTCAAGTTTAAACTCTCCGCCAGAATCCCAACTCACAATGCGTGGAATTACAGCCCTTGCAATCGTCACTTGCCTCTTGTTCTCAGCTGTGGACGCCCTCCCCGCACATCCGACCGATTTGGTCGTGACGCGTGCCGATGGTTCTTCTCATGGAAACTTAGTCCAACTCGGAGGATTTTCTAACGACGGGACCAAATCGACAGCACCCGTCGGTGGCTCTGGAGAAGCCGGCAACGCCAAGATGGGTGCCAAATCTACCCGGTAGTGTGAAAGTGGCAACGATCCGGCCAATTGAGCACTCGGACGTGTAGAAGTGGTTTTACCATGACATCTGCTGGAAATTCAAAAGTCGCTATGAGCTCCCTTTCTTTTCTTCGCCTTTCTCTTTTCTTTCGGAAACAGGAGCTGTGCGGCATACTTGGGGGCTCCGATTAGCGTTTATTCTGGCAATGCAAACTCGCAATTTATCGAGACAACATAAAATGTTTTGGACAATCATATAGCACAACCAAATCCTGCAAAGGAAATGAGGTTTGTGAAAGTAAAGCTTACTCGGACTCATTTCCTCATTCATGTGATTGTTAGATTTCCTCTGCAAGTGCCGATGTGCGTGAGACGACTTGGCAATGCACATACACAGTTCCACAGAGCATCCGAGTTTCAGAGATCCAGCAAGGCATACCGGGCGTTCAACAGGGCGCATATGTTCCATTGTACTCAAAAATGTATCATTTTTTGTTTATGGATGTTAGATGGCTCCACGTATCGCATGAACAAAATCATAGACCGTGCAATCTGTGCTTCACTAGAATTTTAAAGTACGTAAATCCAATGCGTGTGCGATTATAGTAGGTGAGAAGACATTGGCGATAGTTTTGGAACGAGACCGTTTTTTTGAGGTCCCCGGCAGCCCCTGAGTGTCCGTGCCTGCGGGTGTCCTCACCTCAGTGTCCAATATCCCCCTCGCCCTTTCCTTTCTTATTTCCATTTAACTTTATGGCTGTAGACTTACATCACTATCAACCTCATCTTTACCCTTTACATGAGGAATATGTTTTTGTTGCGGCTGCATCCAGGCCTATGGACTCTTTTATACGCTCATTTAATATGTACTAGGAATTTCACGCCTCGACTAAGGCAGGCGACATTATTTGGTACACACAAGAGAATTGGCCTTCGGTTATATGTGGATGATTTCTAAAAGCTTAGCGTGTGCTATGGTCAAATCGAATAAGAAGCTTCAATAGCTCTCGCACGGTATTCCACAGGCTGCGTATTATTAATAGAAAGTTCAATTATATGATGCCTGAATACTGATCTCTGGAGAAGTACATGTCTCAGGCGAGTGTTAATACGGACAGTATTCGCAGACTCTGGAAATGCTATTCGCGCAGTCCTTGAACAAACTTAGAAATTCTGCCACAGCTTCTTCCACCACGGACGATTATCTGACAATACGCCCTCTTCAAGCTCTTCAACCTCCTCCAAGTCTCGTCTCCTTCCAGACTGCAGGTCAATCTCATGCGCTTTCCAGAACTTAGTCTTGTAAAAGAACTTGTAGGCAAAGACGATGATAAGGAACAGCGGCAGAAGAATATAGGCGTCCACAAACCCCCCGGCATTGAAAGGGCTCAAATTCGTCCACCCCTGGACAAGTGCTAAGAAGATGTTGGCCCCAAGACCGAAGTAGGCATTCCAGGGATACCAGAGGGACTGGAACGGCAAATCCAACTCTGAGTACCCCTGGACCTCCCACGCGTTGCGGAATTTAATGTGAATATAACTGATGCTTCCCCAAACCAGGAACGTGGACACTCCCGACAGGTTCACGATGTAGCTGTACGCCGCTCCCGCTCCGGTGGAAACGTTCATCATGCTTAAGGCACCGCATGCGTTCGTGAAAACAATGGCTGGGATTGGGACGCCTCTTTTGTCGGTCCAGCCCAAGATGCGTGGAGCTTTCCCATCCTGGCCCATGAAGAGCAGCGTGCGGCTGCCGATGTAAATAGAGCTGTTGACCGCCGAGAGACAAGTGATGAGGATGAAGGCGTTAATCAGATGAACACCTCCTTCCCAACCCGCATTTTGGAGGGCGACCGTCATTGGGCTCTGAAATGCCTTACTTTTAGCTGACACGAGCCCTTCCGCATTTGACGGACATGTCAAGCCGAAAAAGAAAGCCGATCCCATGTATACAAAGACAATTCGCCAGAAGACCTGTCTGATAGCCAAGGGCACCGCGACTCGTGGGTTCTTGGTCTCGGTGGCAGCAACAGCGACAGATTCGCAACCTGCGTAGAACGTGGAACAGAAAACGAAAACTGTCGCAACGCCGCGAAATCCGCTAGCAAAGGCGCCTGGGTCATGCCAGTATTTGAAGCCTATGCCGGGCACTCCCTGGATACCGCCCGATGCATATATGATGGAGAACAAGAAGTAGGCGACAAGGCCACCGAGCTTGATGAGCGCAAGCCAGAACTCAGCTTCGCCGAAGGTCTCAATGCCGAGGAGTTGGAAGCCGAGGAATGCAAACTACAATGTGTGAGCAAGTCAGTGAAAAGAAGGCGGCCGAGAGCGGAAGGAAGTGGAAGTCCCTGCTTGAAACCTACCCATAGTAAAAGAAAATATCCCCACAACGGCACTTTGTCACTCCAGAACACCAAGATGCTGGATATGGCGTTGTATTCGTTCGCCAGCACTGCAAACCCTATTTGACCATGCTATGTTAGCCCCGACTCAACCAGCAGGCGCGAGGGATCATAGAAAAGACGCAGGATCGCTCGCTCCCAGGAAACTTCTGTCGAGTTTGTCTCATTTCTCCTACAGGAATCAAAAGTGAAGCCGCATGAAGACAAAGCTGCTTACAGATGATGAAATAATTCCAGCCCACTGCAACACCAAAGGCCTTGTCCACGAAACGATCTGCCAGGCCTGTAAAAGCCCCTCCGGATGGATATAGTGTTGTGAGCTCGCCTAGGCTCTGCATGATAGAGAAGGCCAGGATACCGATAGTGCCGAATCCGATCAGCAGTGCGGCTGGCCCGCCACTTGACAACGCTCCTCCCGAACCAACGAGCAGGCCGGGGCCAATGATGCCAGCCAGCGCCATCATCGACAGATGCCGGGTCTTCAGCCCTCGTTTTACGCCACTGTGAGGGTCGATCGTCCGGAAATCGCCCGTGGCCTCGTCGGTCGACAACTCTGACGTGTCGGCTCCATGGTGACGGGTCGGCTCGACGGCACTGGCCTCGAGGTAGTCCTTGTCGGGGGCGCGATAGCCGGACATGTTCACGGCCGGTGGCTTTTGATGCGCCCCTGCGGCTTTTGCCGAGCACCCTGCGTCCTTGTCCTTATCGTTATGGGGCAGGCGTCCACGACGTGGAGAGCGGGCGAGGCGTGACGGAGTGTGGCGCGATACGAGAGAAATACTGGATGTGCGTCAGTTTTCACATTTTATGTACGGTTCACATTAGACCTCAGCACCTTGTCGGCGATCCTCCGGTTGAGCCAATGAAGACTGCCTCCGATTCATTGGTACAGCTGGAAGTGATGAATGCTTTACCTAATGGCGACCAGAAGCTGAGAAATTTGGTAGCAGAAAATGACGGCAGCAAAATGCAGAATTCGTGCCCGCGATGGCGTTATCGCGCCAAGCCTTAGTGCCAAGGATCTCGACTTCCAGATGGCTGCAACATGCACGATAACCCGCCCCGACAGAGTTGGGTAGACATGGCTTGAAATGTTGAACGCTCCAATTTACCACAGAAACGAAACATTCATGTCTCCATTATGTGCATTCCGCGTCATCTAGACAACACTAGAAAGACTATTTAATGCATCAAGTCGTCCCAGTGGCTTTTTACAGCGTATCAAGGTACACACAGAGCCATCGAATGTCCGACTTTATGCCATGGATATATATACCAAAAGTCACTGGCACGACACGTACACACAATTATATATCTATGGGCAACGCTGTTTGTTGTTACTAGATGGTAAACCCCACTGCTAGGAACTTTTAGCATAGTACTAGACATTGAAAACTCAGCGCCTGAACGAATAAAAACAGCAGAAGCCAGTAATCTTAGATCACGCAGAAATTATTCTTGTGAACGTAATAATTATCTGGCTACCGGACAATTTCTTTAAGTACTTGAAGCTTGTGGCGTAATTTTGTTTCTGTGGAGGCTATCCTAGTTTGACAACTGCCCCGATCATGTCGTCAAGTGCATTGTCTCAAACCCAATGACCTCGTATTCTCCTGTCTCAGTGTTAAGTGTCAGGTTGGTGTGTACCGTCTCCCCGCCTCGCAGAAACCCGGCCTCGACAGTCCCGCCCGCCACGGGCCTCGTCAGACGGTTCGACCCGGCTTCCTTGGTAAAATTAGCAAGAGACAAATCCCATGAGTTGCGAGTGGCAACGCTGGGACTTCCAAAGTACTGCGCGGTCGCTCGCTCAGGGGTGAGAGACAGGATGAAATAACCACGATAGTAACCATCCTGCCACTGTAAGGACTCATTTTCCTCAACCACGACCTGCGCGTCGGCCTGGGTGTCGAGAATCAGTCCGCGATTGCCGGTAGAGCTAACGGCTGTCCCGGCGAACTCAACCCCGATCGCGCCGTCGCCATCGGCTGCATTGTACGGTTTGGTCTCAAGCCAAGCAAGATCCGATACCCAGTTCTGGTGGCTGTCTCCAGCGAGGAAGATGGTGTTGGATATGGAGTTGTCGTATAGGTGTCTGAGTGTGCGATTACGATTTGCAACATAACCTTCCCAGTTGTCACCATCCGGCTCGTTGTTTTCGAGGATACGGGAGAAGACAATCTGGTTGGCGACGACCCGATACGTTGCACCTCGCTTGTTTGAGTTGGTCAGTTGGTTATAAAACCAATTCTCCTGGTGGGAGCCCATGAGGCTTCTTGAAGCATCATTCCGAAGCAGCTGGATGTACTCTGAATTCCAGCCCAGATCCGTGGTTGACCGGTCGTAGTTGCGAGTATCGATGACAATGAGGTCCAGCAAGTTGCCCATTTGGAAAGACCGCCAGATACGTAGATTGTTGTCGAGATCAACCTGTGCCACCATGAGCAAATGAGAAACAAGGAGCAAGACTGACGAATTGGCATCCACTCAAAATAGGCCCGCACCGTGTTCATCCTCCGCTGGTCAACTGAGATGGAGGGACCATGATTGCGAAAAGACTCTTCGGTGTTGTTGAGTGCGCTGAACCCGTCCCTGTAGCCATTGTTTGCGACCTCGTGGTCATCCCAAGTCGTAATCCATGCGTGGTTCTGAGCCAAAAGTTGCAGATCGGGATCACTTCTGTATTGTCCATGTCTCGTCCTGTAGTCGAACAAGCTAAACAGCAAGCGTGGGGGTTGATGCCCACGGCTACCACCAGCAGCTCCTTCGTAAATGTAATCACCGACGTGTACCTAGCAATCATCAGCGTCAGTCGTAACATAGAAGACAGAAATCGAGACTCACCACATAATCCTGGCCATCTTTCCTAGCGGCGTTGCCATATGCATTGAAATATCCATTGGCTAAGAGTGTGCCATGTCAAAATATGTATCATGCTTGGAGCTCAGATGGAGACTGACGATAGTTAGAACAAGAGAATACAGCCAGCTTGACTTCGTCGACATCTGCATCGCTAGCTGGTGATGTCTTGGTCCGCCCAATAGGGCTCGAATTGTCCGAGTCACAGACAGTAAACTGGTAATCCGCCTGCCTCGACCTGTCCGCGCAACTCGTAAGCATTTAAGATTACATGACATTATTTCTGGCTTCTTCACAACCGCTTACCTTCACGGTAAAATCAATATCACTCGTAGTATAAGCCGTGCCGCTGGACTCAGCAGGCCCAGCATAGGTTCCGTTGCTGTGAGTACCATTTTCGTATGTTTGGCGCCAGACTGCCCACTCAACACAGATTGGATTCGCATCTGCCTCAATGTACGTCTCCGTATCGTGGTTGTAAACTGGCACTGTCCCCTCAACCGTCACATTGCTTTGGTCGGACTCCGTGGATGGAGCGATTCTCGTCCAGAGAATCACACTGTCAGGGTATGGGTCCCCGGATGAGATACCATGAGTAAAGCTGAGCTCAGACGAACCATAGGCAATGTTGCCACGCTTCAGGCTTCGCCGAGAGATATGGTCGACATGAATGGCAAAATTGACATGTTCACCAAGACGTGATGGACTGTGGTAATTGAGATTGCCGGCGAATGAGGCGGTGGCATGGCGCAAAATGGACACACCAGCAGTTAGGAAAACGAGTGAGCGCATAGTGACAGGCGAGGGATACAGACACGTTGACAGCGAATTCCGATTCTCCTGAGACTTACACTTGTTTTTAAGTAGAGAAAGGCGTAGTACCAGGGCAATTGGATCACTTTATACTCGATCCTTGATATCTGATCGACTTCCTAGATAACGGCTGCTCCTGTACATGCCCTGCTTTCCCCATCTCTTCACGCCACTTTCTGGGAGCTGAAGTTGGCTATGCCCAGAGTAGAAGGCATTATGAGCCACACAAGGGATTAGAATTTATACCCAGCCAATACTGCGACGTTATGCCGCACGAGCAATACCCAAGGCCGAGACCCCAGATGCTGTGCCACACATGCTCGTCCCAACTTTAGACTCCATAGGGAACGTGATGTTCTACAATGCTGCCATTGGACGGTCCGCACATCTCGCTTACTTTCAATCGCCGTGTCATAGGCTTAAGCTGCCCGCCAAGGGCGATGGCGTCGCCTTGGCACTGTGAGCTCATTACGAAGTACGGTGCCTTCAGTTAAAGCCCAGTAAAAGCCCAGTAGAGAAACAACCACTGGAAAAACCGACTTGATAGTGAAAATTTATATGTCACTATACGGAGTCCACACAGACGCCTGGGGCTGACATATTATATGTGTTGGTAGGTCTCTCGTACGTATAATAGTCATATGGGAAGCAATCATGTATTAGTATTGTTCTATCTAAGTTTTGAAAGGCTATATGCCTTAAAGGGGATAACTAAAGTAGCCTTTTAAGTATAAAGGTTATACTTATTAATACTTATAATTTTTCTTTTTTTTTAATAAGTATATATAATTCTTATTATAATTAACTTAAAATTATAATTTATTATATATTAAGTATATATAATTTTTATTATAAAAGAATATTATTAAAAAAGCTTAAAATTATAACTTATAAGTTTTAAAATAAATCTTAGCAATTTTTATTATTATATTATCCCTTAAATTTATAACCTTTATTATTATATTATCCCTTAAATATTATATTTATTATCCTTAATACTTAGCTTTTAAGATTACTTTTTTATAAAAATTATTAACTTTTATATAAAAACCTTAATTTTAAATTTCTTCTTTATAAAGAAAATTAATGCTTATAAAGTTAATATTAAACCCTTTAATTTATATTTATTTTTATTATATATTTTTATAATATAAATATTATTATCTTTATTCTTATTTTTATTATTAAAATATATTTAATATTACTTTAAATTAATTTTCTTTAATTACTTTTTATTTTTTTAAAATTAAGCATTATAAATAACTTAATTATTTATTAACTTTTTTTCTTACTTTTTATTATTCTTTTTAATTTTCTTAATAATTATTTTTTACTTAAATTATTTAAATAATAATATATATTTCTTAATAAATTTCTTTATATATAAGCTTTATATATATTTATTAATAATTTAATATAAAAAATTTTAAACTTAAATTAATATTGTGGGAATAATGGGTGTTGTTTGTATGGAGGACTGTTTAAGACTAGGCAGCTTTAACCCGTTAGGATGCCCGGCAGGCAGCAGCCTTAGCGCTGCATATAAAATAGCTAGCATAATTAAGCCTTTTACCTTCCTTCCTTTTATAATTAATAATAATTAACTATTATATTAACTAAATGTTGTATTATAATATATAACTTAGCTAATATTAATTAATAATTATAAGGGTGATTATAAATTAATAAGGTTTAAAGAGATAACCTTTTAATTATGCTAATTAGCATTATTAATATTATAAATTTATATAGCGTAGTTTATAATAATAATAATACTTAATATATAAAAAGGTAGTTATTATAGTAAGAAATTATAGTAAACTCCCCTATTCTTAATATATATGCATTTATTATACCTTAAATAACCTTAATAATAACTTTTAAATTTAATGGCTATAATTGGAAGAATTAAATTAATATTTATTTTTATTAATAATATATTTACTTATATTTTATTATATAAATAAATATAAAGAAAGGAATTAATTTACCTTTTAACGGCTAAATTATAAAAGTAACCCTTAATTTTTTTATTTTCCCTTAATATTACTTATTTTCCCTTTTTATTATTCTCTTTCCTAAATTAAACATATCCTTATTATTACTTTATTAAAATAATAAAATAGTAAATATAATAAGTAATATTGCTAGCTAAAATGGTTTATTAATATTAATTATAATGGATTATATTTTTATACTTAAAAGCATTATTAAAATACTTAATCCCTTAATATAAATAAATTCCTTAAAATCTTTTAGCAATAAATAATACTTAAATACCTATATTTAGGATTAAATTTAAGCTATGGCATATATATTAAGTAATAAGATATATAAGGCGTTTATTAAGGACTTTTATGGCTAAATTAAGCTAATGTTTATATAAGTTAATAAAAACTTGCTATGCATTATTAAGAAGACTTTTTAAATTAAGGGTATTTATATTTAAAAAGTAAATACTTTAAGGAAACTTATATATATCCTTAAAGCACTAAATTATTTTAAATAGTTAGTAAATTAAAAGTAAAAATACTATATTATATTTAAGATTAATTAAATTTAAAACTATAATTTAAATATTTATATTATCCTTAATTTTAATTATGCCCTAATAAAAGATAAGGAATTACTTATTAATAATAATTCTCTTAATTTTAAATTACTTAAATTACTTAGCTTATTTAATAATAATGATAAAAGCAATGGTAGCCCTTTAAAACCTCTTAATTTATTAAGAGAAAGCAGCAACCTTTCTTTAGCTAATAATTTTTATATAATATATAATTATTACGCCCTTTTGCCTTTAATAAAAATAAAGAACTTCTTACTTAACTTAAATATAATAGCTAACTTAAGTAAATATTATTATAAAGATAAAATGTTTATTAAAGAATTATATAATATTCTTAATAATAAAATCCTTCTTTTTTATAAGATTTATGGTAATTTATAAATTTAGCCTTAATAATTTAAAGTAGCTTTTTTATATATGCTTAAGGGATTAGCAAAGATATATTATATTTAAGTTATTAATTAAAAGAACTTATTTACTTAAATATATAAGAAATTTAAGAATTATTTTAATATAAATAATAATTACTATAATTATTTTATAAATTAAAATACTTTAACTTTCTTTACTTTTTAATAAAGGAACTTAAATAAAAGTTATATAAATATTTTTTAAATACTTATTAATAAGATATAGCTTTGCTATAAAGCACTTAGGTATATTATTTATAAAGATAGCTCTTTATAAGATATGATTTTGCAAGCAGTATAGGGCATTCTTAAATTTTATTATATTATCTTAATAGCATTAATAAATATTAAATAACTTTACTTTATTTTATAATAATATATTAAGGCATTAAAGGCTTAAAACTTTATATTATAATATATAATTATAAAAGATAATTAATAAGCTTATAAATAAAGTTATATTAATAATTATAATAATTAAGATAATAATGATTTAATTATTATAGGCATTAAAGAATAATATTATTTTAATAGGCGGTATAATAATAATAATTAATGCTTAAGGTATTCTTAACTTCTTTTTAAGAGTAATGGCTTTTAATTTAATTTTTGCCTAAGCCAGCCTTATTAATTTAAAAACGGCAATTATAATAAAGAACTTTATAAAGGTAGTTATAATGATAAATATTAGCTTAATAAAGGCAATAATAGCGATATATAATGTAAAAAGAAGAAGTATTTTATATGCTATAAAGAGAAATATTAGTTAATAAATTACTTACTTAAAGATTAATAATATATTAAAGCTATATATATTTATATATATAAAGATATTAAATAATAAGTTAATAATAATAAGTTTAATATATTTTTTATTAGCTTTAAAGATCTTAACTTTAAAGCTGCTGGCATTATAATAACTTTAGTTATTAATAATGGTAAAAAGGGGCGTACTTATTATATCTTTTTAATAAATTAAGCCTTCCTTTATAACTTTTTTAATAGCATAAATGGCTTTAATATTTACATTAACTTTAAAGATTGCTTAATAATAAAGATATTTATTATTTAAAATTAATACTTTTATTAGCAATATTATGGCATTATGCTAAATATAAATATAATAATATTTTTAATAATTAAATATAAGCAATTTTAAACTTTGCAATATTAAGTATTTTCTATATACTTAAATGTTATATAAGCTAGCAAAGCATAAGTATAATTTAACTTAAGCTTACTTATTAAATTACTTAATATAATATAAGTTAATACTTTAACAGGGCTATTAATATTTTATATTATAAATAAGCTTACTTCCTTTTTTTTTTATATTTAAAATATAAATAAAAACTTTCTTTTCCTTTAAAATATTATTAATAAAGTAATTTAATAAAAAGATAATTACTTAAAGAAAACCTTTTTAATTACCTAAAAGTAAAAATACCTATAGATTTTCCTTAATATAGGAAATAATAGTATGCTAGTAATATTCTTAATAAAAATAAAGCTTTAGCAACTTTATTATAGGTTTAAATACTTTTTAATTAATTGTTTTTCGCGCCTCCTTATTAATGCTAATTATAGCAATATTAATTCTTTTATCTTAAAAGCAATTTTTAAGTTTTATTATTATTATTAACTTTATTTTACGGCATTATAACGTTTTAAATTTAACTTTTAAAATAATATTAACTTTAATTATAAGATTATTATAAATATTATATATTTACTTGCTTTATTTATTTTATAAGTTATTAATTTAGCAACTTCTTTTTAAGCTGGATATTTTTTAATTTCTCTTTTTATAAAGGATATATAAAAGGCTATTTAGCAATGTTAAATAAATACCTATTTAGGACTTCTTAATTATATTATTTATAATGCTAAAATTAACTTTACCTTAGCAGAATTCCAAAGCATTATATAAATTATAGGCATTATTTATAAGTAAGTATTAATAAAGATATATTAATTTATTAATAAGGTTAAGAAGT